GAAACGATCATCACCAACACCAACCGACAGGGATTATCTACAAAAGCGAATCAGGTATGGCATCAACCTCTGCATTCGATAATTTTATACAATCAGATGAAGAATATTTCTTTGATGGAATTATAGATATAAACAAAATACGAAAAATAAGTTTTGATCTCCAAAAAGATGAAAACTTCGAACAGACTATACTAGGAAAAATAAAGAAGCAATTATCGAGAACAAACATAATAAAGTTCGGAATAATGGTTGGAGAAACACCAGTACCAATTGAACAAACTACAGGAGAACTCATTCTCCCAATTATTAACAAAGAACAAATCCTAGAACGACTTAGAAATTGTCCCGAAAAACAAAGAAAACAAATAGCCTACATACACTGTAGTACTATTCAAATAATTATAAAATCAACATTCAAAGAAGGTATCGATTCCCCGATTACCTTTCAAATTAGAGATGACAGATTAACCAATTATAAAGAAAGTATTATAGCCGAAGGAAAAGGAAATCTTTCTTCTGGAAAAATTAAATTTAACATTAATATACAACTCGGATTATCATTGAAAGATAAAGACTTGGATAATTCAATAGTTATCCAATACAAACTAGATAGAACAGATTTCATGGAAAAAGGAAATCACCCTTTTTCTATAACCTATCAGATTAACTACGCATTAACCAATAGTCATCACAGTTTAAATTTTAGAAACAAAGAGATTATAGAAATAGATGATTTATTTAAACCAGTAATTTATCTAAAAAGACCATTAACTGCAATAGAACCAGGACGGAAATCGTTGTTACGACTTAACCCAAGATTAAGTATACAAGAATCACCATCTCTATTATTCAACACTGAACAATCAGAAGAAAACCCGGAAGATTACTCTAAATTACGAAAAACAATATCACAAATCAATAATCTTACAAAATGAATTTCAACGAAGACTTTATCGAAAAACTATCCTTATTAAATCTTGAAAGTTTACCATGCCTAGATCATCTTGAACAATTATTAGTTGAAACTATAGAAAGTATATTCAGAGAACGAACTTATGGAACAATTGAACGAAATGAACTTAATAAGGAAAATCGAAAAATAAGAATGATTAGTGCAATATTTAACGCAGTAAGAGAGATTAAACGAGATATTATAAATTCTGACGAATAAAATGGAAAAAATATACAAGAAAAATATCGAATTATTAAACGCACCAGTACAACATTTAGAAACATATAGTAAACTAAGATGCATACAAAATACAATAGAAAAAGAACAAATTAACAATATAATTACAGAATTAAATAAATTAATTACAATAAAAGAAATAAAAATTGAATATTTTAGAAAACATTCATCGAAAGATAATTATAATGGACATTGGCTTCCATTTTTAGAAGAAACGCTAAACCGAATAAAAGAAATGTTAAGTTTTTTCGAAAACGAAATAAAGTCCCCTGAATAAAATAATAATAAAATATAATTATTATATTAAAGGACAAAATTGGAATTATCAAAATTTCAAGGTTACCCTTGAAGTCAAAATGACATTTAAAGGTATTTTTGTAAATGCCCCCTTTTGTGGAGGTACGGTCCAGGGAATGTTTCTTTGCTTCTTTAACAAGAAAATAAAAAACTAATAAAAGAGTTTTCGAACAATTTATATTAAAGATATTAATATTATTTTATAAATTGATTATTTCACGGCTGAGTCACCGCTGTTCCAATATCGGTTACAAATTATAATCTTATCTTGTCTAATTAATTATTATTTTTAATCCAGAACGGGTAATAGAGTAATTTCCAACCTCTTGCTTCTGTTTTTTAATTGAATAAAAATATATCCGACTTTAAAAAAAAATTGTGAAGGGTCCATGGGCCTATAGTAGGCCCGTGATTCCACAAGAATGGGCTCCAAAGGCTCAAATGTATTGTTCTCATCTATTCTTGGTCGTATGCCAAAATATTTTGATTGTAATAATCTTTATTCAAATCAATATTGACTCTAGTCTTGTCTCTTTGTTTCTCGATTGAGCTAAATAATCATAATTGATTTAGTTAAGGTATATACCTATTTCCTTGTTTTTGATTGGATTCTTCCGAAAAGGAAAAAAAAAATCAAAATTAAATAGAAATTTGTATGGTAAAATCTAATATTATATAAATTTTTCATCATTTCCAACGTTAGCGTTTAGGCCCAAACTCGTTAACTCGTGCCCATCATAATATATCGCATAAATTGTTCTCTCGTCTAGAATTACGCCGTAATTGTTTTTTTTTTTTTTATAACGGAAGATCTCTAGCTGCTACCCTTCGGGCACGCTGACTAGATAAACCTCCGGTCCAGAAGCAATCTTTGTATATGAATCATATAAATCCAGAAATTACCTCCCTCTCCATCAGACAGGAATCGAACACTCAACCTCAAGATGGAGTTACCTCCTATCCCAAGTTTAACCACTCGTCCATGATCTGTTGGGTTACACCGTAATTGTTTATATATATATATATATATATTAGGCAACGGTTAACTTAATGTTTTCCAGGTGTTAACACTCAATTAACGGTTTATGTCTGGACACAATCACCCTCTTTTCCGGCTATATCTTGGACCGGAGAAAGTATCCCCTGCTTCGCGCACTACACACACATATACCCCATACGGTTATGATAAGACACAAGAGTGAATCTGTGGCTTCACCCAAATGCTTTATTTTCTAAGATTTGGGAGTTGGCCATTTCAGTTTTCTCAAGTAAAACCCGTCCTATCCCAATTATATATATGAATGTGATTTTTTTTTTATAAAAAAGAATAAAATCCCCGCTGAGCGGAATCTAATTTAGAAACCTACTGAATATGATTTTTTTAATAAAAAATAAAAAATGTGAATCTAAAAATGATGGAAGCCAATCCAATCCGTCATCACATGGATTAATGCCATAATAGATTGAAATATTATTATTAACAGGGATCGGGGTTAATGTTTCCGTGGTGGAGTCACATAATACATATATATATATATATATATAATGTTCTTTAAAAGCCTGTTAAAACTAGAAGACCATTGTCAATATAATTACAGAAAATAAGTTTATATACTTGGTATTTAAAACAAAAATTGTAACATCTGAAATACATATTAAACTGTAATATCTATAATTCAGAGGTTAAATGATTCCTGATACATTTATAAATTTAAACTTTTAACTCCTGTATTTTTTTTATTAATACTTCAAATTTACAGTTTAGTATGTATTAAAGATGTTTTTAGAACAAATGAACAAAAAATCCGAAGCTAAACTAAAACGATAACCAGAAGATTTCTAGAAAAAAGCAAATAATAGCGACAAAAATATATTGAAAATGACAACAACAACAACAAAAAATATAGTTTTTGCATCTCAGAAATGGACGGTCAGGATTGATCTTTGTCCAGGAGATTGAGATCTTAATAAATGCTTTATGAGTCTTTATCTATATAAAAAGCCCATTCCATTTATGATTCTAGACAGGACAACATCCAAAAAAAAAAAACCTTCCATATCAAGAAAAGAATCGTACTCGTTCTTGATCTTGTCCGAAAATGGAAAACCTGGGCGACGAGTACAACAACTATTGGGAGACCACGATGTTCTTCCGGAACGAAGAACTCGAATACAGCAGGTTCTTTTTTTTTTTAGAGTTGATGTAATTCACCAATTCTTCATAATTTTCTATTTCTCATGTGATTTTATTTTTAAATCTCGGGTTTTAATACCCAGTTGGGCGTTCGAGGAGGCGTTGTCCGGCGGCTCAGGGGGATTGAGTTCCCCGGACGTCGGAACAGTGACGTCACCGTCGGCGTCGAAGACCGTCGTGTCGGAGAAGAACAGACGTCGCCGGTTTAACCAGAGGCTCTTCGCTCTCCGATCCGTAGTCCCTAAAATCAGCAAGGTCCCCAAATAAATTTTATAAAAAAGAAACCCTAACTAAGATAATTATGATAATATAATTACAATTATAATTATGTATGAGAGTTTAATCAAATTGTTCGGTGCGCGGTATATATTATAGTTGGACAGGACGTCGGTTATAAAAGATTCGATCGCTTATATCAAAGAGCTACAAGAGCAGGAGAAAAAACTGGAGGCGGAGATCAGAGAGCTCGAATCATCAATAATCTTTTATAGAAATCCGATAAATGGTTATAGAGATCACTCTCTCCATCAAGAACTTATGTCCGACGTCAGATCCAAAAAGATGAAACAGATCATTGGATCGAGCACTGTACAAATATCTCCCATTGAAGCCCTCGAAGTAAGTGTACATACATACATATATATATATATATGAGCTAATAATTATGTATAAATATATATATATATATCATATTTTGATTATAGATTTGGGTATTATTATATATATATATATATAAAAAGATGAAGGTGATGTGGATGGGGGAGAAGAGAGGAGTGGTGATTATAACATGCAACAAGGAGAGAGAGACGATGGCTGGGCTTTGTCAAGTCTTTGAGTCTTTGAACCTCAAAATCATTACAGCAAACTTCTCTTCTCCGTTGTCCGGTCGTCTCTCCGCCACTCTCTTCATCGAGGTCATCATCATCATCATCATCACTTATCTTTTTCTTCTTCACTATTAGTGGTGGTGGTGTTTTATTTCGTTTATACCGAAACAATATATAGTTGGTTTTTTGATCAAATATTTAAATAGAGATGGATTTCTCGGATTACACAGAAATAAAAAAAAATATTGATATACTAAATAAAATATTTAAACAGTTAAATAGTGATTGAATGTAGATGCGTTAATGACCATAAAATATATTCGGATAAACTCTAATGCATATTCGTACTAACTATAGTGTGTGTGTATATTATTGTGAGAAAAAAAATCTTTTAATGACAAAAATGTTGAAAAAAAAACTAGAAGTACAGACCAGATGGATTCAGATTTGTGGAATGCTTTAATAAAGCGAATTATTCTCATTAATATACTTTTTATAGCTTTTGCATACAAAAACTGTTTTCCAGATTTTGAAGGGAAACATATATTGTCCCATTTGTCACAATCTAATTTATTCACTTGTTACATATATATATATATATATATATATATAATTTCATCATTGTTTCTTAAATATATTATAGTATTTAATGTGATTGTCCACAGAATTAATTTTAAACTCAAAAGTAATCAATAATGTTGTCCAATTATTATGGCTGCCTCAAGAGTCAAGACCATCAAACACCCTTTTTAATTTATCTTTCGTCTTTTGATTACCAAAATGTCATTTGTAAACAAACCCTAATCTAATAACAAAAGGTAAAATAAATAATCTAATTGCTGTTTTACAAATTTTTTTTCCATACAGTTGGTCCAACGACTCAGAAGAATAACCTATTTTAAACACGTGGTTCCGATCCCAAAATTTAAATCATCTGTGAAAATTTTACATTTTTAAAATGCTTGATTGCTCATTTTAATCATTTCTTCTTCTTCACGCACGTGCTTTATAATTTCAACTTCTCTACTCATTTTTTGCGTAAAAAACCAGACATTTCTTATATTAGTCGTTATATATAATATATACGATTAGTTTACGTAAATCAGACGGTTATGTAAATTTGCACCCAGTTTATTCTAATTTTGAATAACTTCATATATATATATATATGTATATATATAGGTAGATAAATTTAACCTATTTTTACTTTGTTTTAATTAATATTTTGGTCCTTTGGGTATTATTTTAGGCGGACGAAGAGGAGAGAGGCATTCTAGAGGCAAAGATACTCACGGCAATTGCAGCTTCCAATGCTTCTAACTATTCTTCACACGAGAGAAATGGAAAATTTATTTAATATTTTTATATTTGTAAAGACTATATATTTCAATTTCTCCCTTCAATCTATTTACTTAAGACAAAAATCCTCGGAGCCCTTGATAGTATTTTTATTACGTGCTTATGGAATTTCAATTTTCTCAATTTTTTTTGTGGAAAACATAAAATTATATAATATAGAGAGAGATCCACAGGCACTCGGAGACCATTTGGGCCTCAAATGAAATAATATTAGGCCTCTCCGCCTCTTTTCTTGTTACTTTTCTTTTCCCCCTTCCTATTTTCCAGCCTTAAAAGCCCATTGGGCCTACACTGATATTATTGGGCCCAAAGTGATAGAGGGAAGGGGAAGTCCATGTTAAGTGTACAACAGTACAAGTATATACAGATTTCTTTTTCTTTTTTTTTCTATACGTTTAACATCGACTAGATTTTTATTAAAAAAATTTAAAATTCAATATTTTTTTAATCAAAATGGATAAATTTATATTTATTTTAATAGATTAAAAAGATAGTTATTTCAAAATTCATTATTTTCTACTTTTCATGACATCTTATTGTTTTTATTGATATGGCAATGACGCTAATTGATACATAAAATTTGAATATTTATTCGGTATTAAAAGTAATAAAAATGATATTATTCTTTGAATAGTTTATATACTTTCATGAGATTTTTCCCCCCTTAAGATTCGCAAAAAGATTGATTCACTACACAGCCTGAGTGTGCAACTCAAAAAGAGATTCCAATGCTGCACACAACCACCCCATATCACAACCTCATCTGTGCTAAGAACAAAAAGAGAAGAGCATTGCTCTCCATTTTTTTTTTTCAGACATCCTTAAAGATCTGTCTCTCTTCACAATTAGATGTGTACAAAAAAAACACTCATTTTTGTTGTGTAACCTGCAAGGGATTTTGATGTTCAAGCTCACACTTGTGGAACATAAAGATCATCGGCGAGAACTCGTGTTATCCTGATGAACATCTCGACCCTTTCGCCTCCTTGCATCTAACCGAGGCCTCAGCTGAAAACAAAAAACAGACTTTTAGTCTCTAGAGAAGACAGGATCTTGGTCTTGAGTGAAAAGGGTACTTACAGTTTCAATGTACTTGAGCTGTTTCATGATCTCACTTGTCTCCAGCTCCTGAAGAAATAGAAAAAAGATAAAACACAAGATGATGAGTTAACCTTTCAAGAATCCACAATGCTTGTTCCTGGATGGAAATGATTACAAACAGTAGTGAATTTCCTCTGTTTTTTTTCGAGACTCTGATCCTCACTAAACTCAGGAATGCTGTTTTGGCAACAGATGGTTGATCCCACACAAGCTTGTGATAGACCCTCGGGTTTTGACCGGGAGGGCATTGGATGGGGGTGGCCAGGTCTAAGCCCGAGGAAGGTGCATTCTGAGAGGGTTGGGTAAATTATGACATTTTTATTACCGATATTTCTATTTTCAAGTTAAGACATATTCCCTATCCCGACAGGAACCCGTCAGCTGGTTACCATGGAAGGCGTCTCGAGAGAAAAAGACAATATATCTGACCTGTGGGACGGCACAGTCAGCATGAGGTGGATCCCAGAAGATGCAGCAGAAGCATTCCCAGTTATCAGTCTGTACTTCATAAAGAGGGGCCCTGTGTTCATTAGACAATTCAATAATCTTCAGTACCTAAAAACAGAGAAAACATAACTTAACACCATCTAATTGATATCAGTGTAGAGGTGTGAGGACACATGGATATGGAAAAAGACTCCTGAATGATTCAGTGGCTTCAATGATAAAATGGGCTTCCGATTGAAATCAGGAAAGACAGGAATTCATTGAAATGAAATCATTATATGAAAAATCCCAAAAGCGAGTATTGAAGCTCGTAAATATTACGAGTGCATGGACCATGAGATGGAACATTCTCAATTATTCACCTTACCTGCGCCATTTCCCACAGATTTCTCCATTAATATCTTCCTCTCTGCATTGGAGCCAATTCCCTATAGAGCTCAGTTTCCTAGCACTATTTATGTTGAAATGCTACAAAAACAAAGAAGAGTCGCAACTCTTTGAAATCCACCCAATGATATGGCCACACAAAACACATGCTTATCCGCTTAATATGAGAGCTTACATGCATATATTCTGACTGATTGATTCCCAAAGGTTCACCAGCAAGAGAAGTATCACTGCATTGAATCAAAATAATTTCTCAACAAAACCCTTCAACCAGCAGAAATCTTTGATTCCATTTCTGGGAGTAGGGTATTTGATGATGGTTCAAGTACATACCTCGTGGTTGGACCTGACCATTCAGGAACTTTGGCTTGAAAGTTTGTCCCTATCCGGACACCTGTTTTATATTGTTCAGGATCTCTCAACATCAAAGCTACCGAGCACATTTCATTCCGAGGAGGTGAAGTTCCCCATTTTCGTTCCTGTGAAGCTCTTCCCCTTTTCTTGTTATTGATCTCGTTGAGGATTTTTCGCTTCGTTTTCAGACATGATGGACAAAGCCACTCATCAATCTCTGAAATTTCGGTCATTTGAACGCTGCAGCAGTATGTATGAAACACACCTTCACATTTATCACAAATAAGTATATTTTCGGCAGCTACTGAACGATCACAAATCTTGCACCCTCTGGAGGAGCTGCTTGTACCGATTGTAACAGTCTCTTCAACATGAGAACTGGTTCTGCCAGGCCAAGCTCCATCAAGCAAGCCATCTCTTCTAAGAATTGAAACGCATATCTCTTCTGCTGACATATTTTTTGTTATGTTCTCAGTCACCATTGCACCAGAGGATGAGCATCCAGTAACTTCCCCTGCCCAAGAATTCTTGGACACAAAAGCAAGTCCAGATATGGGTTTCGATGACGAGCAAGCGTCATTCTTGCAACTGCTGACCATCCCATCAGAAACACATATTACTTCTGCAACTGGGGATTTATGCACGTTTTTCGGGTTTGAAACATCAGTCTCTTTATTGCAACCGTGAAAATATCTACCAGCAAGAGAACTGACTGCTGAAACTCGACCCTTACATTTCTTGGTTTTCTCAGAGTCATGTTCAGTTGAAGTACCGCATGGCTCCACCCTTCTCTTCTTTCGCCTATACACAAGAAAGCCATCAGGACCATCACCACGTCTCTTGTTCTTTCCATGACTATGCTCAACAACAATGCCATTTGTTGTCACTCTCTGCTTCTTTTGGAGATACAAAAGAGAGTCATCAAGCTGATCACCACTTCTCTCGGTTTCTCCATAGTCATGTTCAGTTGAAGTACCGGTTGGCTCCACCCTTCTCTTCTTTCGCCTATACACAACAAAGCCATCAGGACCACCACGTCTCTTGTTCTTTCCAGGGCTATTCTCAGCAAAAGTGCCATTCGTTGTCACTCTCTGCTTCTTTTGGAGATACAAAAGAGAGTCATCAAGCTGACCACAACTTCTCTTGGCTTCTCTAGAGTCATGTTCAGTAAAAATACCAGCTGATTTCATTTTCCACTTCCTTCGGCTATAGACACGACAGTTATCGAGCCTATCATCCCTTCTCTTAGTCGCTCCCCTGTCATCTTCCAGGAAAAGAGAGTCATTGAGATTATCACCCCTTCCCTTGGACTTTACAGGGTTATCTTCGGTAGAAGTACCACTGGGTTTCACTATCGGCTTCCTTCGTCTATACACGCGAGAAATTAGAGCATTTCGCGATGTTTTCGGCTTCCTTCGTCTATACACACGAGAAATCAGAGCATTTCGCGATTTTTTGTTTGTCATTGACTGTTCTGGACAAATTGTTGGACGGGTTGGATGGCTTGATACATCAAGATCTTTTCCAGATGTTTCTGGCTTTGCATCAGAAAAACTTACTTCATAACTTTCAGACAATTTGTGGAACATCTGACAAGCTTCACCATGTGATATCCAATAATGCCCAGTAAATGGACTCTGACACCGAGGCACGTTAAAAGAACTTGTTTCAATGGAAGAACATAAAGAACTCTCTACCAACATTTTCACATGAGAACCCCCAACAATATTCGAAGCACATCCCTTCTCTAATAACATATGAATCTGTTCCTCAACTCCTTCATATAGCGCTTTGGGAAACCTCAAATTGAATTCACATCCAACTAATCTCCTGAACTTAGCTTCCTGTGGACAAAGACAAGACATGCAACAGAATCAAAATGCAAGGGAAATCTTGAGCCCATGACTAACAGAACTTGGATTGCAATTCCATTCTGATCTGACACATATTGGTTAATAACCCCTTCAAACTCTTATCACAAGCCCAGATGGTAGCTGTATGTAATTCCAAACGGTTGATGCAATTCCACTAAGGGAAAATCCCAAGGCGTTTGTCATAATTCAGCAGATTTTTCAGGTAGTTCTGGGATTCCTATCACATCAAATCATAGTCTAGTACTCAGATATATAAAACCGCTAAGAATTGGATCTAACTTGTTGTAAATCTGAAAACCCATGTACCCTTGATTATCTTTCAAACGAATTATGCGTACCTCTTGAATCCAAGCAAATTTCAGCAAAAGGCCTAGTTACAAAGTCTTGAAAGCAAACCATTTGAATGATTACGCAATCAATAGAGATTTTGCCTTTATCTTCTAGTTTCAGCTTACAATCTGGGCCACTCTCTCAACAAACTTAATGTGAGTAATCTCCACTGTGAAAAATTCACAATAATGCAGAATGGGTTCATCTATCAAACCCTAGAACACTAATGGGCATAAACCATCAGAAACCAACCACAAAGATTTTGCCTCCACACATTCACAATCACGCAAACAACTCATATATCACAAGCCCATCAACCAGAAAGCGAAGGCAACCGAGTAACATCGCAGATACGCAGACAAAGATTCGGCAAAAGAACATGACAAAAACAAACGCATTACCTGATGAAGAAGGAGACTTGGCTTTTGCCCTTTGTGGGAACTCGCCACTCTTCTGCAGACTCCCTCTCTCCCTCCTCTCTCTCTCTCTCTCTCTCTCTCTCTCTCTCTCACTGGGAAATCTTTTCCGTGTTTCCCCGGTGGCCCTTCTGCATATTTACGTCTTGGAAAACCGAGAAGTCCATAGAATTTGAAAAGAACCCATTTTTCCATATTTATATTCCAACCGCTCAGATTTTTTCTTAAAGCCATATTCTTTGTAGTCTGTTTTATTCTGAAACTTAATGATATGGATTTATTTGGAATAAGAGAACATGAAGACATTTGATAAAACAAATAGTATATAATCCATGGGTTTATCATGTAAATCTATAACACAGCATTCTCAAGGGCTAAAGATTCAAAGAACAATGTCTACAACACAGAGCCTTTCTATGTTAAAATGAAGTTCCAAAAATGTTACAGTACAACTACAACAAGAGAAAACTACATAAGCAAGAGGGCATCTATGTGTGGGTATATATATGTATATCCATCACCCAAACATGGGGTATGCTCATGTTTTACACTGCAGCATCAAGCTCCTTTTCCTTGATCTCTGCTATTGGAACATACACTATTGAGTTTTCTTCAAGTAAACAAGAAGACTTGCCTAACTTTTTCCGACCTCTCTGTCTTCTAAATCTTGACAACCTTGACTTCATGTCCTGTATCTTGTTTTGTGTCCTACAAAGCCTCTCCATTTCTGTTTCAAATTCCTGGTTATGTTCAGTGGTCTTGCCCTCTCTGTTCTTCTCTTCTGTATGCTTCTTCAGGCTTATGTCAACACCAACCTGACCAGCAACCTGAAGGCAACAAGAATGAAGACTTGAAAGGAATTAGGCAACAAGAATGAAGGTTAAAGCAGAAATCTTGGACAATGGGCACTGCTGTCTTCTTCTGCAAATGAAAGAAAAGAGACACTTGCCTGTTCACTGCTCTTCTGTCTGTTGGAAAGGGAAGTGTTTTCCAGATCTTTTGATCCATATGAGACAGTCTCGACAAATGTATTCCTCGGTTCATTTGTCTCTTCATGCTTCTCGTGGATTGCTCCAGGTTCAGGACCTTCAGACAATACAGTAGAACCATGAGCTGGTTTCGTGCTCTCGGTCTGTAATGGAACAGAACAAACATAAGATATCTGTATAAACAATGTAATCTTAGAAGGGAACTGGGCAAAGGTTTGAAAATCAACTTGTTTAGGTTCATATGAGTGAGGAAGGTATACAACTGATACATCAAAAAGAAAAACCTCGTTTGAAAATCACTTAACGCACCTTCCTACTCTTCATTGCCATAAAACGGGCATTCTTGAACCATTCACTGACCTGAAATTGCCATGAAAGATGACCATAGAGCACATGAAGAAATCTACTGCATTATAAATTGGTCCCGAAAACTCATAATCAGATTATCTCATGATCACTGCACCTTATCTGGTTCAAGATCCAACTCTTTTGAAAGATTATCCCTCACACTTTTTGAAGGAAGTTCATTCTCAGTAAACACCTTACGAAGCTTCTGCCACATAATGTACGTAGTTAGAACATTTTGAACCCAGCAAATAGATAGACTTTCCCGAGAAATACAGATAGAGATTTGGAAACATGAAGCTAATCCAGACCTCAACCGCATCTCTGGGAAGTCTGGAGGCTGGCTTTTCTTTAATGTCCGCAGAGAGCCTTTCTCTCTCCATAGTAGTTTCTACATTTGGATCTTTCTCATTACTTTCAAAGAGAGTTACAAGTGTACTTGCAGCGTCGGATTCCTTTTTTCTTCTCCTTTTGTGCTTGGGACCCCAGTCTTCATCTTCACTAAACTGCTCATGAAGAAGAGCATCCTTTCCGAACATTTCCTGATCAAATATGAAAATGACGTGATGTTGACTGAAGCAAATCCTCAACAACAATGACTTGCAGTCATTACATCCTAGAAACAATGTGGCGTTATGAACAACAATAGGGAAACCCAGAAATTAGTAAAGAGTTAGAAGATAAATCTAAATCTGGAACCGGTGAAATGGTTGATGAATCTCCTCCCACTCCCCTTAAAAAGACTCTTACCCATAATTCCCTTCTCCATTTGTTATAAAGCAGAGTATAACCAACCTAACTCACGTAGGTATCAATCATAGTTAACTAAAAGCAACCATATGTCCAGACCTTAATTACTTTATTCTACTTGGTATCAAGTAGTGAAGTTTTTGGCTTCAAGCTCATCAATTCTATTAGTGGTTCTTCTTGCCAGAATCAAAGTATATAACGAAATATCATTACAAAGCAGCTCTAACGGGTACCTCAAGTATGGCATGACCAAAAAGTCTACCAAACTTACTGGAACAGAAATGGTATGGTTCTGCATCTCACCACCGAATTATACCCTCTTTGTTCAGACATATACAGTGCTCTCATGCTTTTTTATTGGTAAAAAAACTGTAGTAGAGGGTACTTCTGTTCAGTTCTTGAAAAGGTTCTGATGATTTTCATTTTTTCTCCATTTATTTCAGCCAGAAAACTTCAACCCTTCAACATTTTAGGCGATGAACTGTAACTTATTTCAGGATTATTATTTTCCTTAAAAAGGAAACAGATTTCTAAGATTTTGTTGTGAGGTAACCACAAAAGTCAGATAAAGGGATTTAAGCATAGATACTCACATCGTATAATTTCCTATAGTCCACTGCTCTCCGCTGTCTTGGACCACATACAATATCTTCATTACTGGTTTCACCTGAATCCACCCTATGGCCAACTGCATGACTTATATTATCGGATTCCAATCCCCATCTCCCAGACCCTGAAGATAGCGCAACACCACCTGAAGACCAGCTCAAGCTCGTTGAAATGCTTTCACCATCATCACCACCACTGCCCACACCACTCATGTCACTGCCTTGTTCCCTCATTTCTGGATCATAATCATCATCCTCAGAATCATCCGAAGGCCAATCCTCTCCATTTTTCAGTTGACCATCTGACCCGTTTGGATGACCAGCTTCTTCTTTGAAGATATCCTATCCAGAAATGAGTGAGCAAGTTTGAATATTAGATCAGTATGCAGGACTCTCTACTCGCAGGAGCAAGGCTAGAAAGCTGGATGGATATAGCAAAGTGCCTCGCGACCATTTCAGTGTCACCAGACGGCAAAATATAAGCTATTTCAAGAAAAAATGAAAGGCTGTCTGCCTAGCCCACTCATCGAACATGTCTTTGAGAGGGGCCCAATGACATGAAGATTCCATATAAAATGAAGGGTTACCTTCCAGTTGCTGTCCACTGGGAAGTGAGTTCCTATGTGTGCATTCATGGAGTCTATAATTTCCATCTTACATATACATAATTTGCAGAACCAGCTCTGATCCCCCGGAGGTACTGTGTAAAAATGTTAACCAAGTATAAATATGGAAAAGTATCGTGGAGAAGCCATACCATATAAACTCTAGAAATAGAAAGCATATATGCAAATGCAAGAGGTGAATGGCTTACTGCTCTCCGTCTCAAGAGGAGGTTCGAGGCACTTCTGGTGAAAAGCACGATTACAGGTCCCATCACAAAGTATGATATCATTGTCTAGAAAGGCTTCTCTTGAACTGCATTTTGCACAAAATATCTGGAAAGGAAAACCAAAAGAGGTATACATAAGTGAAATTCCTGCTACTTTATGAGCATATATATAGATCAGAAAGACATGTTATAGAATACATAAATCGGGCTTTCAAAAAGAGGGTAAGAGGAATATTCAATTTCAGGCAACCCACATAAGTTCGGCTTAGTGCATGAAAAATGTTTGAAGCAGTGCTATGAGAATTTTATTTACATGTTCATGATGAACAGATCCATCTGGAGCAATCACTTTCTCTTCGATACTTCCCACTGAACTGAGCATATCCAGCTCATGAATCGCATCACGTATTCCAAGCTTGCACTTCAAGATCTGTTTCCTCGCTCTCTCAAGTTCCTTATCTGGCCTGATCTTTTCTCGGCTGAAAGCCATGGGTTACAAATGTCAGACAACATTTATTTTGTAACTGAAAAGGGGATACAGGAATCCAATGTTTGGTTTGGGATAAAGAAAAAGTGTCACTTAAATGTATTGGACTCCTATATAGTCAAATATCTCTTTCTTGGCTTAATGCAGAGGCGCATAATTTTATATCTTGTCTATTCACACAGAGTAGTTACTATGTCATCTGCTAATAAGTTGATAGATTTCTTCTGTAGAGCAAATACCAATTCTTCCAGTTCATCCCAGTACACACATTCCGAATTTTATTCAGCAAACGTTCTGAACTAAAGAGAAATGAAAACATACGAATACCTGATGGTATAAATGAAAACAGATCCTACCCATATAAGACATTTTAGTTAAAGAAACTTCATTTTGTACCTCTGACCTTTCCAACCTTCTCCTGAGTAAGCATCAATAAGATTCTGCTCCAGCTTCATCTTAATTAACAAATACCTCGTCCGCCTTTGCAACCGCAATCCTTCATCTGGCTCGACCTTGCCCCGTTGCCTCTTTTGTTTCCTCTTCCTTGCTTTCTTAGCTTTCCCTTCCCCATCAGCATCCTTGCTATGGACCCTTGAAGATTTCTTCTCGCTGGAGAATGCTGCACCAGAAGCCTTCTTTCTCGATGAAATTGAACCACTTTTCTCCGCATTGGTTTTCCGCTTTTGTTTGTTTTTTCTCCTATTCGCTATCTTTCTTCCTGCCTTCGCAAAAGGCGCACTTAGCATAGACCCTGTCTCCCCAATTGAAAACTTTTCAGGTTCTCGGTCGATTTGCTCCCTAATTTCACCCTCCTGCATAATGGATTTTCCTTATCACAGAACCAAGTCCTCCTCGCAAATCATGCCATGGAGACCTAAAGAACCAATCCAACAACATAGAAGCCAAAAGGACACCATTAGATACCTACCCTGTACAGGCAAAACCCTCAATCCATAGGTTTTCCTCTTTCTTAAGTACTATACATAGAACATGGAAACCATTGTAGGGTAAGAGAAGAATTATGATTCCTATGATTGCCACTTACCTGCCTTCTTCTATCCAACTACAGCTCAACGCACTCCTATGGAACCCTTAATATTTCCTTAAAGATGGCGAATTTCGGATCAAAGCTGAAAACTTTATTCGAAATTAAACGACAGAGCTAACAGTAGGCTAATAAAGATCACCTCAGACGAGAACATCTCATGGGAATCCAGAAACCAACAACTCTTTTCACACTCACAAGTTCGAGACCCGAAACTTAGAAACCAAAAGCATGAACATTTACGAATACCCACGATTAATCCAAGCAAAAGGACTACGATTCCTCGACAATAGACAAAGTACCACCCGATAAATTACAGGATAGAGCTCAAAATCTTCAACTATTTCTGAAAATCAGCTACCTGGTGAGTAGAAAGATCAAGGAAGGATCTTGGAAGTTAATGGCAGTGAGTTTTGCTGAAATTTGGCATGAGAAAAAGAAAAAAAGTGAAGGAATTGAAGATCTGATCCGAAATCCGAATAATATATCTGAAATGGGCGATGGGTTAGTGATCTTGCTTCACAGTTCAGTCGCCTGCGACGAGCTGGATCTCCGACGAAGCGGCTTTCAACGGTCGGTTTCGTGTCACACCCTCTCTGCACTTTACTCTCAACAAAAAAAAATCCTTTCCAGGTTTAAAGTTTAAAATTTCGAAAGTAGTCCCTATACTTCTTATAATATTGTAATTCGTCTTGATATTCTCAAAAATCGAAACGCCAACCCTAATCTTTGAATTGTTGCCTCGAGTATACATGACATATACCATGGTGATCCATATATGTGTGTATTGTATTGGAATAAATTAATTTAATTCCATTTTAACGAATAAAAATATTACTCAGATAATATATTGGGAAACTTTTTGTTGCCTTCTAAGTTAACTACCCAGTAATTACATTTTCCAAAGAGCAAAAGAAATAAATATCCCCCCATCATTACGTATGATTTGAAATTTAACATTGTGTATAAATTAATCATTATTGTAATTTATTAATGAAGGAAATATATCTGCATTCTTGGATGATGCTCGAGAACATGAAAAAAACTCTGCAGGCGAAACCTCTGTCACGTCCAGAGGGCTCATATATATATATAAATAATAATAATAATAATAATAATAATAATAATAATAATAATAATAATAATAATAATAATAATAATAATAATAATAATAATAATAATAAAAAAATCGCAAAGAAAAATGTTGTGGGTCGTATTGTTTTGAACCGACCTACCAAATTCACTATGATTAAATAAATTCCAAAATAAAATCATAAAATGGAAATTAAACTCGATAGGTGATAGGGTTGGTTTCCACTTGTCCAAAGAAATCTTATTGGCCGACCGGCCAAGATAATGGTGTATTCATCAAAGGTTACAACACAGTCACTTGCTATCATTTTCCATACCAAACATTCACGTCTTCTTACATATACATAAATGAAATATATTCAATTTGTTTTATAAAAAAAAGGCAATCCAATTCCATGCATTTATTCAGAATATTTCATGTTTTTTTTTTCTTGTGAGCATTTATTTAAGTATCGTTCTCTAGAGAGTTCTATTGGAGCAGGAGAAATAAAAACTTGGAAAAATTTAGAGCCACCAATTCCTCTAAATTTATTTTATGTGTTAGTCGGTGGATGCCTTTGAATTATTATTTCAATTTACTGTCAGTGTCATTCGTCGTTTAGGATCTGCAAAACTTTTACAAATTTAAATCATGACAAAGCAAATTAAATATAGACAGTATTTAAAAATTAATATTATATATACTAATAAAACGGAACTCAAATCCAATCCAAATAAGAAATAAATAATATATATATATATATATTCTAGAATAATCGAATGAATATAATAAAACGCAAATATGCACCCCTAATCAATATATTTATACACACAAAAGGTTCAAAAAAAATAGTTTGTGGTACATTTTTTGTTATTGTTTTTGGGCATAGTATTTATATGTTATCTAAGATCAATAAATGAAACTGCATGGACATATGGTCTATTAAATCATCTTCGACATTGGAGGGCCCGAGGAGACATGCATTTGTTGATGTACTCAGCACAAATTATGGGTTCTGCATTATTCCATCACATGTAAAATGGTAAAGAGACAAACCCCTAAAATAGTGATAATTGAATATATATATATATATGCACACACACACACACACACATATTAATTATTTTAGTGTCCATCACAAAAAAAAAAAGTCACACTAAATTTCATATATATCGTTTGTATATAATTTCACCAAAATCGGTTTTGTAAAAGTTTATTTCTTTTTCCTGTTTAAGAAAACAATGTTAATTACCATATTAGTAATAGTATGGCAAGAGATAAATATTTGTGGAATATATATATAATTTCACATATTTGATTATATTGGTATTTTGAAACAGTTCATTAGTAACAACCAAATTCCAGCTTATATATTGCATTAAATGTTTGGGGTTTCACGTTGGCAAGTCGCTTTCGGTGAACCAAAACCCTCAAAGAATAATTATTACGACCTCATATAATAATTATTCGATTCATTAGAAAATATGTGAAATTAATTATATTTTATACCTCAACTCAAATGCTGCTTTAAACTAAACTAAACCTTCAACAAAATGTCCCTTTTCGTCTGAAACGAGGTTTCATATGACATATTGTTATATTTTGTTTCATTTTATATATCCACTAGCTCCTATAATAATTTTCGTATAAATGAAATTCATGCGAGAAACGACAATATCTTCTTAACCTTTTTACATTATAGTAACTTAACCATTTAAAAAATTATACAAAACCATAAAAATAAGCAAAAAAGAGTAATCAAGTTCTGCAAATGAAAAACATCACGAATGGAATATTATATTACATGATTATGAATTTGTTTTTTAATAGTAAAAAGACACGAAAGAATGGAGATGATGTTACGGGCTCAAGCGTGAGCTTCTCTATGGCGTGGAAGGTTAGAAGTGACGTGGAAAACACAAAATATGAAATATTATAATAAATGAAAATATGTGGAAATTAATTTGATGGACCGACCTCTCCCAACACACATTGCATTATCTTTGGCTCTTTTTAGATGCATCTTAAACACCAATCATGCTTCCACACAAACAAGACAATATGACTTTTTCGTGTACACCAAAAACAAAAAATATTCTCCCAATTATATCATACTAACTTTTTGTATGACCTTTTATTGAAATGTTGTTATCACAAATAATAATAATAATATATATTAAGGGTGGGTCCTATTAAAGTTTATAGGTAAATTTATCCCATAAACATGATACATATACATATAGTCAAATTTAATTTTACGGAATGCGTTGTGTGCAAGTAAAATAATATATCTCAATTATTGTCATGGAATGTGTTTGTTTTGGTGAAAATTGTTATTTTTAAATATAAATTTGGTGGAAATTGTTGGAATGGAGTGTTGCCACTTAGAATAATATTAACACAAAAATGACTTGTAATTTTCACATACAGCTGTTCCTTTTAAGCTCATGTTATTACGATTACGTAGTTTGCAAACTTATGGTTATAAAATCAAGTTACCATAATATTATATACATTTATTCTAACATACACACACACACACTATATATATATATATGAAACGTGTCGTGTGGGCTGACTTGGAAGATTTATCCAACTTGCAATAAGACGAGTGGGTAAGGCCGCCACCTCTGAAATTTAATACGAATATTCCACGAATAATATTTACCTCTCGTTTTTTTTTTTGCATTTTATACAAAAAAGTAAATTCATGAAAGCAGATAATTCAATTATTTTTGGATTGTCCGCTTTACCTACACATAATTTTGCAAATAAATAAATAAAGGAGACGATGCAATTTATTGAAATAATAGAATACTCCAATTAAAATTTATTCATCGGAGGATGCGATTGAATTTGATTTTCGCATTAGGGAGAGATGTTTACGATTATCGTGATTGAGTGGAAGTTTTTCAAAGTTTATTCTATGATCGTTAACACTAATATTAAATCAAAAACATTTTCTGGTAATTAAATGGTAAATTAATAGCCATTTATTTTGGTTTCATGTGTAATATTAGATTACAAAAAGGGAAAATAAAAATTATTTAAAAAACGAATAAAAATGAAGTAGTAAATGAGATGCTTAAATTATTCAGCAAACAAATTTCCTATTTTCTTCTTCTTCTTCATCTTTCTCTCCCTCCCCTCGATCGAGAAGTAATAAATGGAGGAGAAAAAAAAAGTCTTTAGGAAAAAAATGGAGGTTCTGTGAAAAACCCATCACATTCCTCTCTTTTTTTGCTTTGGAAGGGGAGAGACAAAACTGCATCTCTTCTACTCGATTCTACCTGATTGTTTTTTATCGATCTGATCTGATCGAATTTGCATTCGGATTCCATTCCGTTTTTGTTCGTTTTATATTTGGATTCATTTCCTGATTTATTCTTACCGGAGAATTTCCCGGTCATAGCTTGATCGTAGGCTGTTTTGAGGGAGGAAGTCTGTAATTGCGCATTGTATCTGATTGTTAAAGGTTCCTTTGACTGCTTCTCCGAGAGATTGCGAGATTTCCCGGGGAATTCCGTAACTTTCCCGGAGTTTCCTCTCATTTTCTGGTAAAATCGTGATACCCAGATACCAAAAAGAATCGAGAATCCATGGCTCCACCGGAAATCGAGCACGCGATGGCGGAATCGCCAGCTTCGTTGGTTTCGCCGAGAACCGACGAGTCTGATCGTCGTTTCGCCAATTTGAGGGGCGTGCGGTGGCGCGTGAATCTCGGCGTTCTTCCATCTGCGGCTTCTTCAATCGATGATTTTCGCAGAGTCACAGCCGATTCTCGCCGAAGGTAGCTTCCTGATTGTAATTCGAAGAAATGCTCGTGTTTTCAATAAAAAAAAAGAATTTTTTCTCACAGGATTTGAGTTTCTGGGTTTAGGAGTCTGTTGATAAGAGCAACTCTGTTATCAAATCTGTTCCATATCATTGTATAAGCGTTGGGTGTTTTTCATGTAGATATGCATATTTAAGGAGACGGATTTTGATAGATCCACACGTATCCAAGGACGGAAATAATTCTCCAGATCTCTCCATTGACAATCCCTTGTCACAAAACCCAGGTAAGATCTGAGTTTATTTACCCATTTTCTGATCAGTAAATGGTGTAGCTTGTGAGGTATATACCATAGTCTTTAAACATATAGGAAAGTGTGTATCAGTATCAGTAAACGTGTATAGAAGAAAACCCTTGTTTACCCGGTTATAGGGGAAATCTTGTAGTTATATGTTCAATGTTACTTCCATGGATGCAAGGTGAACTCCATTAGCTTGTGATCACGCAAATTCTTGATGTTATACCAGGCTTAAAAAAGGTTTAAACCACCTCTCTCTGTGCAGATAGTACATGGGGCCGTTTCTTCCGTAATGCGGAGTTGGAAAAAACTGTTGATCAAGACTTGTCGAGGTTATATCCGGAGCACGGGAGCTATTTTCAGGCTCCTGGGTTTCAAGGCATGTTAAGACGGATTCTTTTGTTGTGGTGCCTTAAACATCCAGAGCATGGGTATAAACAAGGTAGTGTATGTCATCTCCTTTGGCTTTTTCTTGCACATGGACTGAACGTATGAGGCAGTTTACCGGTTTAAGTAAAACGGGTGCAGTTGCAACACGGGATCTGAATCAAATATCGGGTTACATAAATATTGTTTGTTTGTTTGTTTTTTGTGTTTTTCTTACAGGAATGCATGAGCTTTTGGCTCCCCTGCTGTATGTCCTTCATGTTGATGTTGAGCGTCTTTCTGAAGTGCGTAAAAATTATGAAGATCACTTCACTGACAGATTCGATGGCCTATCTTTCGAGGAGAACGATGTCACTTACAATTTTGATTTCAAAAAGTTTCTGGACTCCATTGATGATGAGATTGGTTCTCAGGGAAGGTCAAAGAAAATCAAGAGTCTAGATGAACTTGATCCTGAAATCCAGTCTATTGTGATGTTGAGTGATGCCTATGGGGCAGAAGGTGAACTTGGCGTTGTCTTATCTGAAAAATTCATGGAGCATGATGCTTACTGCATGTTCGATGCTCTCATGAATGGATCACATGGTTGTGTTGCCATTTCTGATTTCTTTGCTTATTCACCAGCCAGAGGATCCCACACAGGGTTGCCTCCTGTTCTTGAAGCATGTGCTGGGTTCTATCATCTATTATCGGTTGTGGATTCATCTCTGCATAGCCATCTGGTTGAACTCGGAGTTGAACCGCAGTACTTTGGGCTTCGTTGGTTGCGGGTTTTGTTTGGACGGGAATTTTCACTTCAGGATCTCTTGGTAGTTTGGGACGAGGTTTTCTCAGCGGATAATAATGGCAGCCCGGATGACAATGGTGCAGATACCATAAACCACACCTTTAAGATCTTTGATTCTCCTCGGGGAGCCCTCATCTCGGGCATGGCTGTTTCAATGATATTATATTTAAGGTCTTCTTTGCTTGCTACCGAGAATGCAACGTCCTGTCTTCAGAAACTACTGAACTTCCCGGAGAACATTGATCTCAACAAGATTATCGAGAAGGCTAAGTCATTACAGGCTTTGGCTTTGGATGCTGATGTGCGGTCAGCTCTGTCAGTAAATGGTGTTTTTGACCTGAGCGGTCCTGTGCCTGCAAGAGCTAATAGTTTAACTTCTGATTCGGTTTCTCCTAAATCTCCTCTGATTATTGCACCAAAAAGCTACTGGGAGGAGAAATGGAGAGTTCTGCACAAAGCAGAAGAGGAAGAAGAGCAAAGGCAGAGTGATTCAAGGAAACAAAGCCCAACACAGAAGAAAAGAATATGGTCAAAAGTGAAGAAGCTTTTGAGAACGGAGACTGACTCGCCACCAAGCAAGACTGAGAATGGAAAAAGGAAAGTCAATTCACCATCAGTGAGGCGAAGCTTGCTTGAAGATTTGTCTCGGCAGCTTGATTCAGACCCTGAGGATGCTAACGAGAGGGATAAGCCAGTAGATTACGAGGATACTCTGGTTTTGAGCAGAGAAGATAGCCCTCCTCTTGAAACTGAGGGTAGTAGTAATATGGGTTTCCATTCTGCAGGAGAAGAGAGTATTGCAAGTGGGCATGCACCCAGTGAGGAGAATTCATCAATCTTTTCTGATCCAACTAGCCCTCTCAGAGATTCAAACTACAACGAAAATGATTCAGAGAGCAGTACTGCGTCAAACTTTTCTCCTGAGGAAATCGAAGATAGTCAACGAGCAAGTGTGGATTCACCTCTTCCCGTTTCTAGTCACCCTAACAACAACGAGTCTCCGGAAATTCAGTCTATCGTTCATGAGACCAGTGAGAAATCTGCTAGCATTACAAAGGAACGGAAGCTTCTACCAGGAAAGTTCCAGTGGTTCTGGAAGTTTGGACGCAATCTTGCTGGCGAGGAGAGTTCAGATAGGAATGGGTTTGATGCTACGAGCTCCAAAGTTATCGGAACTAGTAAGAGCGATGTGGGGTTAGCTGCTTCTGGGTCCATTTCTCCTCAGGCTTCATCTTCTGACATGAGTGGCAACAAAGGAGAAACCGATCAGAATGTGATGAATACTTTAAGGAACCTCGGCCATTCCATGCTTGAGCACATTCAGGTAATTTCCCATTACATAAAGATCATGAATGTTTGGAATCCATATTATGCAAGGAGACATTGCTTTTGCTAATTCGAATTGAAGGGTGATATAAAATCGGTCTATGTGTTCTCTTAACTTACTGAATAGATATTATCAAGTTCTCCAAGAATATAAGATCTTGATAAGTGTTCCACATTGGAAAAAGTGATGGATTTGGGGTCAATTTATAAGGAGGGTCAAAACTCCACTCTAGTTAGTTTTTGTGGTGGAGTTAGGTCCAAACTATATCATATCCATCGTCATAAACTCTAAATTAATCTGATTACTTTGACTCCGACAGGTAATCGAGTCGGTTTTCCAGCAAGAAAGAGGCCAGACAGGGTTGATGGAGAATTTAACTAAGACCAATCTGGTCGGAAAGGGACAAGTCACCGCCCTTACAGCACTCAAGGAGCTTCGGAAGATCAGTAATCTTTTGTCAGAGATGTGAATTCTGCATCACCAATTTTCTTGATTCACCTGTATATACATTTTGTAAAGTATTTGTTTTTTTTTAGAAAAACTCAGAATAAAAGAGTTAAGATATCTGTTCAGCTTCTCTCCCTCTTTGGAATTTCCTTGGAATCACCAAAAATAATTGGTTGAGTACATATGGACGAAGCTATCGAAATCATTCATTCTTGCAACGATCTGTTAACATAAAATAACAAATATAATAGGCTAGGGGCCAACCAGGGAGAGTGCAGCTCACATATACTATGATGTGTGGCACTGGCACATTTTTGTAATTCAAAAGGGTAACATTTATATACTTTGTTCCAGATAAGATATCGAACCAGACCAGACATTCTTCGATTCTTTAGTTTCAGATGTCAGTCTGAAGAAAAGGGCGGAAACCCGTCTAATCTAGATTGTGGAATCCGGGTAGAAGCGAGGTTATGAAGCCAAAGACGATCATCTGAATCTCTTTGACAATTCCCCACCAGTGGTTTCCTGCTTCTGGTTCAACCACATTTCCATTCTGATTTGCTCGGTTTCCATTCCCGTTATCCGCATTCTGAGCTTCGTTCTCTTCTCTAACCTGTCCTTCTGCCGACAAGATAGAACAGCTTTTGTTACAGACAATAGTGGTCAGATAGACATAAGATGGTGGATTCAGATAATTCTCCCTAAATTATATATCATAAAATGTAGTTTCCATGCCAGTTTCAACATGACCGAGGTAGATCAAAGGAAGAAAATTTAAGGCCCGAAAAGTGGGGAATAAGCATACCTGGAGCAGCATTCTCATTCTGTGGCCTAGCGGCAGCTGGATCATTATCATCTCTTACAGCAGGCCTTTGATGCCGTGGTGGAGCTGCTGCCCTCTGCATGCTTTGTGACAGCCATTGTACAAATGGTGCAAGAGCTCCAGTTTGATATCTGTCATATTCCACATCAAAGCAGTTCAGCTTCTGCATTTACTGCTTTTGAATATAAAACAATTCAAAGCCTCGGCATTTTTGCAGAATTTGATCGATGGCAGCTTTTGGAACTGCTGGGAATAGCTTGCCTCTTTCGAAAAACCTTTTTTTTTCCCGGACAATGCCAAAATTCAGCATGTTATACTAAAATTTTACAGAGTTCTTGGAGTAAAATTAAAGAGATTCTCGAGACTTACAAGTAGATAATTGAGGCGAAAAACACAAGAACGGCTAGCCTTTGTCTTGATCCATCTTGGTTGAACAAAAAGATAACAGCAGCGAGCTTGAGAATGAGTAACAGGTCAAGCTGAAACGCAATCTGAAATCTTCTTACAACGGCTTGTCTTTGATGAGCAGGTTGTTGCTGCTGACCCTGTTGTTGTTGTTGTTGCCCAGCTTGTACTTGTTCATCACCCCTAGCCCCAGCCTCATCGCTTGGCCTGGTACTATAAGCAAAGAAGATTCCATAGTTACCAAAGCCATAAATACGCCAATGGACCTCTACGTAATTTAATATAAGCACAAAGTTTCACCAATGATTCGAACAATATAAACTAGATCTGAAATTGTAGTACCGACTGGGGTAAACTCATGAAGTCCATGCCTAAGTGAATACACCTTATCATTCTCTCGAATGACATTGAACTGGCGTGTAATATCCAATTCTGAAGACAACCAAAACCAGTAATTCTTTTCGGTACATGGATAGCTCAATGATCCAAACAAGTAAAATACAAGAACACGTTGTCAGTACTCCCTATGATCTAACATATGATTCTACAGGATTATTTCCTTGATTTAATGTCATACGGGAGCACATAGCATTATAAACTACAAAAGCTAATCTACCAAACTCATGAAAGATCAAAGAAACTACTTACGTTGGGATATTGTAAGTAAGCGGGATAAGGTTGTTAGATGGAAGACCAACACCAAGTCCCGGAAACTGATGAACATGAACCGCATATATGCCAGCTCCACGGTTCGGCTGTTCCTCATACTGTGCCGGATTCATTCCAGGAGAGAGAAAGGGATACCAAACAGGATACATCGGACAATCACCATTTGGATAAGCTCGAAACCCAGAAGAGGCTGAAGCCTGAAAAAAATCAATCCCCAGATAAACTCAAAGAGTCAACACAATATATACTGCAAATTCACAAACCCTAATCTGCCATAGATCTTCGGATGACAATCGGATAATCGCAGAGAGAGATTCCTAACTTGGAGGCAAATCAATCGCCGAATTTCATGAGAAATGTTGAAGAAACTGACTAACCTGGGATTTAATGTCGGCATCATCCGGTTTCTTGTGAACGGAAGAATGCTGTGAGGCCAAAGAGGACTCGTTTTCAGATACCTCCGCCATTATCAAAGATCAAGCTCTTCCTCAACACACACAGACACACACACACACTCTCTCTCCGTCTTCTTCCTCAATCCGCCGAAATGTTCTTCCCGTTCCTTCTGAAAACTTTTGATGGATTTGGATTTAGCTTCCACTTCGGTGAATCACGTAGCTTCTTCGTCATCTGTCCAATGGACAACTGCCACGTCAACTTCAGTTCGTGACATTAATAATTTGGATCGTTTGATTAAAAAAAAGTATTTTCGGATTATAACACACAGCCCCCTACACTTTCAAAACATTCCACTTCAACCCTACACTTTCATTTATCAACCGAACGTCTACAATCTTTAAACTTTTTCTATTTCCCAACGATGTCAGAATTTCTACAAGAATATGTTTTTGCTTTGATACACACAAAAGTTGGAAGATAAGATAAAAACATACTGTATGTTTTGGAAATACTAGAAACAATAATCAGTAATATATCGGTAATTAATCCTCTATTTTATCATCCTATTATTATTAATATAAAATTTATATATGAAACCTAATATAACCAATCTAATATCTGTTACGTTTTTTTTTATCCTGTTGTTAATATCTTTTATTATAATTCCTTTCGTAGATCGTGATAGGAACCGTACGGTTTTAATTTGTCAAATAGTACTAGCTGTATAGGAATGTGTATTTCTTTTTAATAATATTTTACGTATATTATTTTACGAATCAACTTGCGAATTGGACTGTTCAGACCCTCGGAATTTTTCATCGTCAAATGGAGCGGCGACTAATCAAAGATGGTTTATTTCTAACGTATAAAAACGAACCGCCGAATAGTTGACTTCCTATATTATAAAAAAAAAATACTGATATTCCCAGTTGACTAAGAAAAAATTGTAGGCCTTATAATATCAATCAACGTGGCCATAAAAATATTATTTTTTAATCAAATTTGAAGAATTTGAGACGTGGGTATGTGTTGGCCTTTCTCCTTCTGGTATACATACATATATATGTATATGTATGTATGAAGATAAAGCTCATGAGGAACTGATCAAGAACACGAGTTTTTTTTTTTTTCTGATAATGTCTCTTCCCATCTCCATTTCATTCGTAACCTTGTTTCTTGTGGTTTCTTCTGTTCATGCTCAAGACCAATCCGGTAGACCAAACTCTCCTTTCTGTAACAACTTCCAGATCTTTTGGAACTGTTTTTCTTATGAGGTTGTTTGATCTTTGCTTCTATGTTTCTTCTACTCAGGTTTTGTCAGTATAGATTGCGGAATACCCGATGGCTCGAGCTATAACGACGAGAAAACCGACATAAAGTACGTTTCGGATTCAGGGTTTGTCGAGTCTGGAACAAGCAAGAACATTTCGGTTCAGTTTCGGGCGAGCAATGTCGAGAGACAGTTCTACAGTGTCAGATCTTTCCCCGAAGGTAAGCGGAACTGTTACGACGTTCAGCCTCCGCGAGGGAAAGGATTCAAGTACTTGATCCGTACCCGTTTCATGTACGGAAACTACGACGGTTTGGGAATATCTCCCGAGTTCGATCTGTATCTCGGAGTCAATCTATGGGATTCTGTCGTTTTGGACAACGTGACTTCTGTAGTAACCAAGGAGATAATCTACACTCTTGGTTCAGACAATGTTTATATATGTCTCGTTGATAAAGGCAAAGGAACGCCATTTCTGTCTGTGTTGGAGCTCAGGCTCTTGAAGAACAATACGTATGCGACTCCTTATCAAGCCCTAATGCTGTCTCGGAGATTGGATTTGGGTGCAATCGGCGATGTTCCCGTCAGGTGAATGCCCTTTTTATGTTTACGACAACGAGTTCTTGATCGTTTTCTGTTGCTGGTTTTACGTTATCTGATTCCTGCAGGTACAAAGACGACGTGTATGATCGTATATGGATGCCGTCGAGGTTTTCGAATCATAGAGTCTTGAATACATCGCTCGTTATAGATCCGAACAACAATAACGGGTTCCAGCCCGCTCGGGTTATAATGAGCACTGCAACTACACCGCTTAACGCCAGTCAGGACATCGGTCTCTACTGGGAACCTGAAGATCCAAAGTGGAAGTTCTACGTGTATATGCACTTTGCTGAAGTCGAAGAACTTCCAAGAAACGAAACCCGAGAATTCAGGATCTTTTTGGGTGAAACCCCGTTAATGGTTAACGATACATTCACTCCAAGGTATCTGTATACCGATACGCTTTTCACCGAGAAACCCGTGAGTGGAGAAAGCATCGAGTTTTACCTCAGAAGAACCGATAAATCAACTCTTCCTCCCATCATTAACGCTATCGAGAGATATCAGGTGAACGAGTTCCTTCAGTTATCGACTGATCAGCAAGATGGTAAGGGTTTTAGTTTCCGAAACAGAGATTTCGACTTGAAATGTGTAAATTATATCATTTCCATGTTCTTTAGTTGATGCCGTTATGAAGATCAAGTCCAAGTATGGAGTGAAGAAGAGTTGGATGGGAGATCCATGTGCTCCAGTGAACTATCCGTGGGACGGAATTAACTGTAGCTACTCGGATAACGAACCTCCGAGGATCATTTCACTGTAAGTATTTGTCCTATGTAGAGGTTATATATATGTTCTGTCTTATATATATGCGTATGTATGTATCTATATATGTCCTTGTTTCACAACAATGGGGATTTCGCCATTTGCAGGGATCTATTTTACAGTGGACTCACCGGAGAAATAGATTCCGCCTTCTCGAACCTGACAACGATCACAAAACTGTCGGTATTTCATGTTAAATATGAACTCTGCAACCGTTTCAGAGAACTGACATGGTGAAACATCGTTTTTAACAGGGATTTATCGAACAATAGTTTAACCGGAAAGGTTCCGGATTTCCTCGCGGATTTAACGAACCTGAAAGAGTTGTAAGTCATTCCCGACAGCCGGGCGTAAAAATAGTTACATTTTCATGTTAAATATGTCCTTTATTATACATCTTCTGTTCCTATTTTCTTTGCAAGAAACCTTGAAGGAAACAAGTTGACAGGCTCGATTCCACTGAAGCTACAAGAAAGATCAAACGATGGATCGTTATTGTTAAGGTTAGGTCCTTTTCCAAATCTCATTACAGATCACAACAAGATTCATGTCAGGTTCCTCCTAACCTTTTCCAATGTTCTTGTTTCAAGAATCAGTGGAAATCCGGACCTTTGTGCGGATGCTTCATGTCAAAAGGCGAAGAAGAAGAGGAAAAACGTATACGTAATCCCGTTAGTAGCATCCATTGCAGGACTTCTCGTACTTTTCGCCGCCTTATTTCTCTGGTGGGTTTTCAAGAAACGATTACCAAGAGGTAAGAAGATCTGGAAACTGTCGAGAGTTGTCTCAGGTAATAAAGGACATATCATCTGTTTGTAATGACAGAACCTTCTCTCGAGATCCTTAACAGGCGAGAATGGCGGCGTCAAGACAGGGCCACTAGACACAACAAGGCGATACTACAAATTCTCGGAAGTCATGAAACTAACTAACAACTTCGAGCGAATTCTCGGAGAAGGAGGTTTCGGGAAAGTGTACCACGGAGTGTTAGATGGCAATGAAGTTGCTGTTAAGGTTCTGTCTCAAAAGTCGACTCAAGGGTACAAAGAGTTCCGAGCCGAGGTTTATTCTTTTGTTCTTTTCTTCAAGAGCCGTTTCCTTTTTTCTGATCGATAATGTCTCGGAATTAAGGCCGACACTTTCATTTCACCGTCAGGTCGAGCTTCTCCTGAGGGTTCATCACAGGAACTTAACCTCTCTTATAGGTTACTGCAATGAAGGCAATCATATGGCGCTTATCTATGAATTCATGGCTAATGGCACCTTAGGCGACTACTTGTCAGGTCAGTCCCGAAAAAATTCTGTATGAATCAGATCGTCGTCTTTTTTTTTCTAAGATACGAGACCTCGGACTTACGCTTAGCTTTTATCTTTCCGGATGAAGGTATAAAGCAACATATCTTGAGCTGGGAAGAGAGGTTGCGGATATCACTAGACGCGGCACAAGGTTCTTGGATCTTTCCTGAATACAATCTTGAAATATTCTTTCTCGTGTGACTTCTTTCGAAACGAAAATAAACGGATGTTTTCGAGGAAACAGGGCTCGAGTATCTCCACGACGGATGTAAGCCTCCGATAGTCCACAGAGATGTGAAGCCGGCAAACATCTTACTGAACGGAAAACTCCAGGCAAAGATTGCCGACTTTGGCTTATCTAGAAGTTTCCCATTGGAAGGTGGCACCCAAGTAGCGACCGTTGTTGCGGGAACTATCGGCTACTTAGATCCCGAGTAAGCGTTGCTAGTCAGTTATGGTTATTATTCTCGAAACTACGAAAAAACGAAATTAGCTAAGACTAGTTCTTGTTTCATTATATGATCACAGATTATGATAGGAGTGAACGAGAATTGGGTACCTGAGTTTTTGGGTATACCTCGCCCTCACAAGTTTCATGATCGAACTATCTCGATCTCGATTTCACGAGATTTAGGTACTCGCAGTCACCCCAATCCTGCGAAAACGCGAAACTTTATATCTACCCGAGAGTATTATAGATATATAACGATAATTTTGCACGAAAATATACATATATATTACCCTTGTAATTACCCTAAAACATTAGGGTATAAATATCATTTTGCACTTTGACGAGTACTCGCGTAGAACCCGTCATGCAACGGCAAAACCTGAACCCACGGTCTAGATTCCTCGTCTTGCTCCACCCATGCACGAAAACTCGATTTCATTCACTGAGTACTCACATTCCGAGTACGGAGTACCCGAGAATCAGCGTTTACCAGGTTTTAACACCTAAACTGACATGATGATACATCTGATATGTGGAAACAGGTACCACGCGACACAACAACTGAGCGAGAAGAGTGATGTTTACAGCTTCGGGGTGGTTCTACTGGAAGTGGTCACTGGGCAAAGGGTGATTTCGCGTTCGAGAAACGAGAGCACACACATAAGTGATCGAGTCGGGTCAATGCTAGCGAAAGGGGACATCAGAAGCATCGTCGATCCGCGTCTAGGAGACGGGTTCGAAGCCAGCTCGGCATGGAAGATCATAGAAATAGCTTTGGCCTCGGCGTCTCAGAGTTCGAAGCAAAGGCCGACAATGAGTCAGGTCGTGATGGTGCTCAAAGAGAGTGTAGGCAAAATGTCAGGTCACAAGAACAAAGGGACTGATGGAAGGGAACCTACCAAGATGATGTCGATGAATCTGGACTCGGTAATGGCTCCTCAGCCAAGGTAAGTTTATCTTATATTACTCTGAAAAAAAAAACAGAGAGAATTTCATGTGTGATTGAATAAAATGTAGTGATGAAGAACAATCTCCAATCTGTTTGTTTTGTAACATTAACATATCGAATTGAAATGTGTTGTTGAAGCTGGAATGATCCGATCGTTCTTTTAATCTCCGATTCTTCGAGTTTCCAAAATTGGGTTTATTCGTTATAGAGGAGAAAAACAGAATGCGATACCGAATCCCGGGACTGGAAACAGGAGATTTTGACACAGCAGAAGAGGAATGGGAGATGATTCTATGAAGGATCCGATGTTGAACTCCACCATATTGATCCTCCATTTGATACCGCCGATCATTATGGACTGTAAGTACTGATTCCACAAGACAAAATTATAACAAAAAAGAAGATTAAACTCGTTAACCAATGGAAAAAAGTCCTGAACTTTGCCTACGAGCACATGCATGATACGAACAAATCCGATTTATTTTTACACAAAGACAACAAACCAGTTTAACTTTGCCAATACCTGTCCGAACTGATGTCACCACGCATCAAACCCTTCAGTTCTCGCTAATCTTACCTGCATCTACAAAGAAATGAGAAGCCATTACAGTAAAACACATCATAAGCAGAGCAATGAAATATCAAGATTCAAGAAGACAGTTCGGGATCACACTCGAGAAACCATGATCGTATTCGTCAAAAGATCACACATCAGAAGATTCTAAGAAACAAGGACCAGTTTATTATCCATTTCCCCGGATCTAAGTTTCTACGGGTCCTGATGTGATAAGAAGAATAATTTCTATTAATCTTTGAGAAAACAATGGGCAAGATTGAAGGAAAAGATATAACAATGTGAAGCACAATCTTTACAAGTATAAAATTATTAGAGCACTGTTGCAAAGTCTGGCGAAAGGCGGCAGACATCTGCAAACCATTGTCTGGAGCTTAAATAAAATCACAATGCATAAGTCAGCCAAAGATCTTGATCGTATAACTCTGAGCATTGCATCTTTATGTACATCAATTCCTTGTGGAATCAGGATCAATTTCTTCCGAAACAGTCCTCATTTCTTTTTCCCCCATCCTGTATGTATATATTCATGGATTAGAAGTTGATTTCATTGGCACTAGCACGAGATGAAACTATCATAAACAGTTCTAGTTAATGGCACAGATCATGCCAAACCCCGAGATTCAACTGCATTGTCATGTGGACAAATAAAAGACGATTCTTTGCGATGGAAACACAGCTTTACCTGCCGTATACTTGGAAAAGTTTATCACTTTTCTTCTTCTCCGGGTTAAGATTCATCATCGGAATTCGGAAGGAGCTCGATCTTCACCTCTAGCACCTCATTCTCAGCAATTTTAAACCCTGTATCAGCTTCTACCTCTTCCGTGGGAGCAGAATCATCTATTGTTCGAAACGAATAACAAACTTATCACCATGGACACATAGCAACAATCACAACAAGGCGGATTTTTGGGCGAAATTGCGCCAATCGTGAATCATTCGGAGAATCGAAGGCTGAAAATCTCGGTGTCGCGTACCTGAAGGAATGAAGAACGATGATCTAGGCCAGCCACGAAGAGACATGACCGAGAGGGATTCTTCCTCCGACAACCGATTCGTCACCTTGTCGACCAAATCGACGATCTCCGAGGTGGTTTTGCGAGACGGCGGGACCCAGAACGACGAGCCGGGGATGAACGGGAGCCAATCGGGAGTCGACTTGTGCACGATGAGCCTCCGAACCATGTCGTTGAGCTCCTTGATGAACTCGGCTCTTGCCTCCGCCTGCGAAGACGACGATGAAGAATCTAGGTCGATCTCGACGAATTGGGGCTCCGACGAGAAACGACGGCGGAAGAAAGCCTCGCTCGCCGGCGCCGGAGCCGGGAAACGAAGGGGGAGGAATCTACCGCGGGGGATTACGATTTTGGAGAGCAATCGGGACATTGTTTCGAGAGAAGGAAGGGGAGGTGAGAGAGAGAACGGGAGATCTGTATTTATACGGTGGTTTCCAAGGCCGGCTGACAAGGAAGTCGGTGAAGCTGAAACGGGTCTCAACACGATCCGAATCATATTGCCGGTTCCCGGGTAGGATCCGACCCGAATCCGGATTAAAATAACAAAAAGTTGTAAGAAAATTAAAAATTTTGCTACAGATTATTCTTTTAATCAATTATTTTGATTGTTATTTTATTTGAAAAAAGAAGAATTTAGTTATTAATTAATCGACATTAGTTGGTTCCATAGCGTGGCTGTGGGGCTCCGACCCGTTTAAAAGAATAATAACCCTTGGAGTTGCACAGTATTATCAATTTCCGCATTCTTCTCGATCGGAGCCATTTATCAAGGAAATTAGGGTTTGTACGATTTCTCTCGTTTCTGCGAATCCGAAACGAAGAAAGGGACGACGATGGCGATGAGGAAGGTGTACAGTGAGATCAAGGGGAAGAAATTGAAGGAGCTTCCGAGCTACTTCAAGTCGGGGTTCACGATTGAGAACGTGAAGAACTCTGTGAAGAGAGGGCTCGACAATTACAACGACAAGTACATTCAGACCAGCTCCGTCGATCCTCTCCTTCATGTCTGCTTCGGCGGCATGATCCTCTCGTACCTTGTCGCTCTTCCCCACGAGCGTCGCCGCCTCGAGCATCAGCAGCATGCCAAGGAGCATGGTGGCCACTGATGCGGGTGAATTGGTTCGATCTGTTCATTTCCGATGATTTGAGTTAAGGATCGATTCAAATTTCCTCTATTGGGTGATAGTTTTTTTTCCTGTTGGAATTGGTCGACGGTCCTTTGAGTATTCGTTTTGGTGGTGTTACTGTGTGATACTTGGTGATCCAAATTCAGGACAGTTAATCATGTTGATGATTGTAGTATCGATGATTAAGTGCGTTATGTCCACTGCGATTTCGCAGCCCATATATGGTGATTTGGGGATTCATGTTGTTGAAACCTATTGGTGAGATAGTGCAATAGTTTCTGCCTGTACAATCAAAGTGTCTGTCTTTATGAAGAAACCAGTTTGTTTGCTTGGTGTAAAGGGTTTGATTGCAACTTCTGATTGGGAAGGATTTCATAATTTCATACCGTGCTTATCTGCAATGTATAGTGGAAGCATGGGGTCTTGAAGTAATGTAAAGGAATTTGATTTCTGGATATCTCCGAGTGTTTGATCATAGAAGGTTATGGGGCTTGATTTCTTAGCTAATAGCTACTGCTGTATATCTTTCGTTTCTTAGATTGGTCTGTCTAGAGCATATGCTGTAATGATTTTTGGATCAATTTCTTCTCGTCTGTTTCATGATGTTCTGTTGCAAGATGTGATATTTCGGCGGTTTAATTTTTGCAGCTGCATTCTTGTTTTTAAATATTTTGCATTTGCATTGGTCATTGTAGACGGTAAGACTAGGATAGTTGATCTTTCTACCTCTGTATTATTCATCAACACATTTTAGATGATTTCTCTCGGCTCGGGACATGACTCCGACTCTCGTCTCCTTGCCAAGAATTGAGCAATTCAATCTTTACTAATGCTGCTCATTGGTTTTGTCTATTGTGCAGGTGTGGTGAAATCTTTCTTCAGTTCAGTGGTGAAGATTGTGTTGCTGGATGGGTTTCCCCCCCGAAATTCTTGGATCTTGTTGACCAGAAAACCCTTTGTCATGAATTGCATTTTCATACACAATAAATGAAGCACGATTTATAAACAAACGAGACTCTTTCCATTGCATATGGCAATTGTCATATAGTAGCAGTTCATAGCAGATAACAAACATTCCTTGATCTGCCATTGCTTACTACTATATGTCCAATTCTTTTATTAATTTAGCTAAATCCAAACTCGGTGGATGTTTCGGTTCGATTCCCCAGAACAAAACCATATCAAATAAAAAATCTCGGTATTTTTTTGAACCGTATCATTCAAATTTTTTGAACGGTATATTTATAAAAGCGAATTTTTCGGAATCGAACATAACCAAATTTTATAGAAGCGAAAGTACAATATATGTCTAAAATGAGTGTGATCGAAATGACAATGTTGAGATGGATGTATGGACACACAAAGATAGATAGAATTAGGAATAGAATTAGGAATGAGACTATTAGAAAGAAAATATGAATAATAGGTATAGACATGTACAAAATAGGTCGATAGATGTGCCGGTTAGAAAAGTGGAGAGTATGGGGATGAGGTGAAGAGAATAGGAAGTGTAGGCCTAGGTTTATTTGGAAACGTGTAATTAGGAATGATATTCCGAAAGAATTGACGCAAAACCGAAATGAGTGTAAACGAATAATCCATGCGGCCGATCCCAAATAAACTTGGGATTAAGGCGATGTTGATGTTGATGATGAACATAACCAAATTTTATAAAATTCTCAAAAATCCGAAATTTTCTTAAGAAAATCTAAATTTTTTTAACAAAAACCGAAACCGAATCGAACCGAATAATATATGCTATTGATTTGGTATAAATTTTAGAATATCAAATAAACCTTTACGAATCGAATGATAAAATTCTGAATCGAATCTCGACACGTCCATCCCTAAAATGAGCTAACATTGGATAGGTAGAGATCTAATTTAAACGAAGGAGGCAGAGGCACCCTCTGTAGCACAACGATCTTGATTCCATCTTTTGAAACTTTTTTTCGTAATTAAGTATCATGAACTAAAGTCAAACCAGATATTAAAAAAAAGTATGGGTGAATGCTTGGGACAAACGTTTTCCACAACTGTTTTACCAGTTGAACGATCCAAATTTGAATCCATATTTTAAACCTTCACTCCTTTGTCTTATAAATCTCTTATTAATCTCTTATTAATATTCGAGTTCACTTATTTCAGTTCGGATTTTATATTGAATTCGGTTTGGTCTCGATTCGATTTTTTAACATTTTTTTCAAAGAAATATTCGGTTTTTAATTTTTGTATTCGGTTTTAATAAAATCATAACCGCTTGATTTTTATACTGAATCTGATTTAATTTGGGGTGTGTTATTCGTGGGTATTAACTAAATTAACCGTCCTAATTAAATCCTAAAGCCTCGGATTTAGATATTTGGTAATATTGGTATCTAGTCCAACTTTAACTAACCTTGCTTTAGAAAACTATTTTATTAATTTATTTGGGCCTTACTCGGGCCGACTAGAGTTTCTAACGACTTGGGTCCCAGAAATTGACAAAAATGATCCAGACCATTTATAGCCCAACTCAAATTAAATTGAGCACTTATTATTTTAAAATCAAATTAAACTAAACTATATAAACAAAAACAATTGGAGTTAGTTGGATTTGTTTTTATTATCTTTAAACTCAATTTTCTCTAATTTTTTTTTATGGATAATCGTGTTTAATTTAAAATAAAACTATAAGAAATCTTTATATGAAATGAGAGAATAAGAAAGGATGAAAGGGAAAAAAACATGAACATTGCGATATTTTAACTCGGATTCAATCTATATATAATATATCGATTTCTACATGAATTTAAGAATTATTCATGACAAATTAATTTAATAGTTTTCCTGTTGTACAAATTAGTTCATTTCATTCCATAAAAATATTATCTATTTTTTTCTTAAATAATAAGTCATGAAAAGTATTTGACGACACTTCACGCAAAGACAAAATAAAATTTGTCCCTTTATAACCGAAAGGTACTGGAAAGTCATTTTCGCAAAATCGATAGGCGTTCCCACAATCTAAGGGCAATAAAAAAAAACCCCTCTGATTGATATAATTACAAATTAATTAATGCTGACAAATAAATAGTAATATTATAAATTCACTTGTAATTAGGATTACATCATATTATATCTAATATATAATTCACGTAACGACGGAGAAGTAATAACGCATTTTTTACTTTTTCATCAATGTCAAATCGACTAGTTTTGTACGTTACAGTTTTAATATCTAGTTTTTGGATTTAGTTTCATGGCTTTCCATTTTTCTTAATTCTTATAAAGATGTAGGCTTTGAATCGGGATGAATTTTATTTTGGGTTTTTAGTTTTAGTTTTTGAATTTTGGTTTTTAGAAATCAGGAGTGGTTTTCGGAGTTTTTGGATTTTAAAAACTGAAAAAACCGACAATCAAGTTTTTGTAAATTTGGTTTTTCTAAAAACCCGGAAATCTACTTTATGGAAAAAATCAACTAAAAACCAAAAACCACATTTTTTTAGATTTACAATCTTATAAAATCCAAAAGTCAAAAATCAAAAACTAAACACCAAAAACTAAAGCCAAAAACCCAAAATAAAAACCAATGTCATTAAAGACCTTAGTTTTTGGTTTTTGATTTTTGGATTCTATAATATTTGAAAAATAAAAAAAATAGTTTTTGATTTTTCTTTGATTTTTTCACTAAAATGGCTTTTCAAGTTTTTATGAAAAGTAATTTTGTGAAAACTTGAATGATAATTTTTTTAGTTTTTTGATTCTAAAAATTCTAAAAACTCCAACTATTGAAGGCCGTATATATATTTATATCTTAAATTTTTTATAATAATGGGTTTGTCTCATTTTCTTGAAATAACCATGTCATTTTTTTGTTGTTAAGAACCATATCATTTATAATAGGAACAATTTTTTTTTGTTGGTGTGGAGGAATCATTCTTTTTTTTTTTTGGACATAGAGAAATGTCGCTCACGACACATGATGTGTTAGAGCTACACGACATGTTTTGTGGGAACACTCCTCACATGTGATTTCAGATGATAATCAGAACGCTCACATACTTCCAATCCCTAAATTATAAAATGAGCTTAATAGAAAAAGATGATGAATAGTAGATTTTTTACCCGAGTTGATCCGGTTAATTAAAACCCGATTTTTTCTGATTCATTAAAACTCATTTAATATTTTCGGTTTTGCATATATGGCAAAAAATCTGACATATTTATGATAATATCTGACGCTTTAATTAGTCAATATTGATCAAAGTTTGTCATGACACCATTTTCTTAAGTTCGGAATTTATATTTTTATATTTCTCAAATTCGAAAATTATTATTCCAATCTACTAGTTTAGGAATTTACTTTTCACCAATTCTTAAATTCGGAAATTTTTATGGGTTTATTCCTTATGTTTACTATCTAATACCTAATACGTATAAGGAAAAAAATGCATTGAGTCCCCTCTTGCTTGAGTATTAATTGTTTAAACGTGTTTGCCATGAAAAATTACATCGATATATAAAAAGTACTTTTTAATGTTTTTAAAAATCATATAATCTATTAATATTTAACATACCAAATATTACATATACATATGAGTACGTGTGTTTAGTGAAAAAGTAGGTTTAGGGTTTGAAAAGAAAATGCAATTTTATGATTTTGGTTGAAAAAGTTTACAAGTTGAGAGTTGTTTATAGATTTTTTTTTTTCAAATAGTTTATAAAGAAAACACTTAAAACTGTATGTGGATTAATTATGATGTTTGATGAAAGACGCGTTTTAATTTTATGATTGACATAAAGGAAATTTTAATCAAACATAATAATTAGTCTACATTGGCCCTCAAATTATGAAATTTTAATATTTTAACCTTTTCACCTTTTGATCAATTAAGTCAACATTCCTTTTTCCCTTCTCTCTCCTTGGACTCAACCTTCCTTTGTAATTTTTTTCTTCTAATTTTATGTAATTTAGATTTTGTTAACTAGAATGATTATATCTTTGATTAGTTCCAGTAATATAACATATAAATTCACCCTGCATACATGTCACCATTCACATTTCTAATAACATATATCATACTAGTATGCATTACCATTTGCATATACACTCCATCCCTCAACATCAAATATTATATTACCATTTATTTACCATTTGATTCACTTATATTTTGAATCGAAACTTTCGACTTTGAAAAAATTATATAGATTTTTTTTACCTGTATTTAATTTTTACAATGAAAATACTTATTTTTTTGAAATAGTTTCGGTTTTATTCAATTTTTTCGAATATTTTTATGCTCATTTAATTTTTAAAAATATACTCACGTCATTTTTAAATCAAATTCTATTATAATATAAGTAAAAAGTGAAATCCAATGGAAATCAATGGAAATCAGATTTAAGCTTTTACTCGTAGCATTAATTTCCGCATCTGCTCCTGTGTACCATTAGTTACCATGAATCACACACCAGTCACGAATCACGAGTCACGAGTCGCAAAGCTCCTAGAAGGGTAATATCGTCATTTCACCCGAACTGTCGGACAGCTTCTTCCGCGCGAACTCTCTCTCTCTCCTCCCACCTTCGGACATGTATAGTGTATTAAATCTATATGTCCAAATTATTTATTGAAACTATTAAAAATCGAATATTTCATAAGAAATCCGATCAATATTTAGTAATTTTAATGTGCAATGTGAAACATTTATATTTTAGTTCTATATAAATGTATATATTATTGCCTAGAAATGAAAATGTTTGTCTCCAATTTTGGACATAATTTGTACTGCAGTATTATTTTCATGGACAGTATGATACAAAAAAAATATACGTTATAACGTAAGTATTATTTTATAATGTTTTAAACAAAAAAAAAGTATTATTTTATAATGTTTATATTTTCACCACTCTACGTCTACTGTTATAAAATAATATTATATTATATTATAAGGATATAATTAGAAAATATAAAAAATGGGACCTCCATCATTTTCGGTTCGTTGTCTGCTTGACACTGAAAATAATTAAAATAGAGTAATTAAGTAAAAAAAAGAAAAAAAAGAAAACCCTAACTACCTCCACTCCAAATCCACACACTCACTCTCTCTCTCTCACTGAATCTCAGTAAAATCTCCATTTCTTCTTCCCTCTTCCCTTTCCCCTACTCTTGTATGTTTGATCCGTTTCGGATCTCTCTCCTACAAAAAAAACCCAGTTTCGAAGGGTTTCTTAATCACTTGATTAGAGATCTACCCATTTTCTGATCATCGAGTTCTCTTATCCTTCTGCAAATGTGATTTCGTGCGATTGATTCGATCGTTTTCTCTCAGTTTCGTCGCAAAGCTTCCTTTTCCGTGAATCCACTTCCGATTCGTTTCGTGAATCGCTGTAAGTTCGAACCCATTGTTCGCTTTTGTTCTTGGGCTTTACTTTATCCGACCCTTTCGACAAGTTTTCTCCTTTTTTTTCGTTGGTTATTCCTTGCTTGGTTCATTTGAGAAAGTGGGTATTTTTTTCTTTTTCTCAAGATTTTGATTCACGTTTGATTAATTTATTTGTTTTTTGTACATAGTTGATTGCCAGCAGTTTGCAACTGTGTTTATTGCATTGGTTTCTATATATGGGTTTATAGGGAGATAAGGACTTTCTTGTGTTGTCTGATGTGTTTCTAGGTTAATTTCTTCGGAGTAAGTTTATTTACCCATGTCTTTTCTTTTTTTTGTCTCCGAGCGGCGATGGTGTTTTCAAGTTCTTGTCTTGGAGTTAGTCGGCAGTTTCATGTGTTTGGTTGCTGAGAAAATTAGGGAAAACCACGAGAAAGTTGAGTTTTTTTTTTTTTTCATTTGTCATCTTAGTCTTCCTCTATCTTGGTGTTTCGATAAAAAAATAATCTCCATTATCTCCTTTGGTAGACAGTATCAATCTCTGGTTCGATGTCTTGGGTTGGCTTTTGAAGCCTGAAAGCCTTGGACAGAGATGGTTCTGATGTCTCTTAACTTTAGTTTGATCATTGGCTGTCCACATTTTGTTTGAAAGCTAAATTATTTTCCTTAGAAAAGAGGCCAATATTAAGTTATTGGGTTTGAGTAATTGATCGGTGGCATCTTTTGAGTATGTTTATGTACTGATTGATAGTTTCCATTGTTTGATGTCACTGTTTTTTTGTTGATGCCAATGTGTTTCATTTGGTTTTGATGCTGCAGATTACTCTGTAAGGATTGAGATGGAAATCGGGTTTAAGATTCTGGTCTTTTTAGCAGTCATTGTCACTGTGAAAGCAGAGGTTTACATTGTGACAGTGGATGGAGATCCAATCATAAGCTACAGAGGTGGAGAAAATGGGTTTGAAGCCACTGCTCTTGAATCTGATGAGAAGATTGATACAACTAGGTAACTCGGTAGTTTCTTCGTAATGGCTGGAATAGTAAAGTTTGCCTGAAAAAAACATTGTAACATGGTTTCTCTGCTCTTGTTTAGCATTGATTGGTATGGCTACATCTTTCTGTATGTCGATTGTTGGATCGGTATTCGTGATATAATGGTTTTTTACAGTGAATTGGTGACATCCTATGCACGTCACCTTGAGAAGAAACACGATATGCTTCTTGGAATGCTCTTTCAGGAAGGAACATACAAAAAGCTCTACAGCTATAAGCACCTCATAAATGGATTTGCTGCTCACATTACACCTGAACAGGTGAAACCGATTTTGAGATGATCTCTCTCTACCGATTCCTTTCTCTGTTAGATTCTTGTTTCCTTACTCTATTCCTCCGTATTAGTAGGCAGAAACACTTCGACGTTCCCCCGGTGTGAAATCTGTGGACAGAGATTGGAAAGTAAGGAAACTCACCACTCATACACCGGAGTTTTTAGGGCTGCCAACCGATGTTTGGCCAACCGGTGGGGGTTATGATAGGGCGGGAGAAGACATCGTGATCGGGTTTGTTGACTCCGGGATTCATCCGCACCACCCAAGTTTTGCTTCTCATCACACTGCACCTTATGGCCCTCTTTCCAGTTACAAAGGGAAATGTGAAGATGATCCTAATACCAAGAAGAGCTTCTGCAATGGGAAGATCATAGGAGCTCAGCACTTTGCTGAAGCCGCAAAAGCAGCTGGAGCTTTTAACCCGGATATCGATTATGCTTCTCCAATGGATGGTGACGGCCATGGAAGGTTGGTATTCATAGTCTCACTACCACTTTTTTTTCTCTTGACAACTTCCTTATTGCTCCAGAGATGATGAAAATCGTCTGCAAGATAATGGAACTTATACTTACTACTGGTTGATCAGTCATACAGCAGCTATAGCAGCCGGAAACAATGGTATCCCGGTGAGATTGCATGGCTACGAATTTGGTAAAGCAAGTGGGATGGCACCTCGGGCGAGGTTAGTTGATGAAAGAACGCGGCTGTTTTATGTATGTTCGCTTCCCCGTCTTCCAACCTGTTTTTTTTTGCAGGATTGCTGTTTACAAGGCTCTCTACCGATTGTTTGGAGGTTTTGTAGCCGATGTGGTTGCTGCAATTGATCAGGTAGTAAAATAATTGTTGTTTTCTGTCTTGGTATATTGGCATTAAGATAAAATCATATACTATCTTCATTCTGTAACTTGATCTCCTTTTATGTCCGTGTTCGAATGATCCCGCTAAATTTCCTCTGTAATGGATAGATACCCATAAATATTAATCTAGAAATTCCTAATCGATTTGATAAATTCAACAAATGTGTTTTTCGGGGCAGGCTGTTCACGATGGAGTTGATATCCTGAGCCTCTCAGTTGGTCCAAATAGTCCGCCAGCTACTACGAAGACAACGTTCTTGAATCCATTTGATGCTACACTTCTCGGGGCTGTAAAGGCTGGTGTTTTTGTTGCCCAAGCTGCTGGAAACGGGGGGCCATTCCCGAAAACTTTGGTTTCTTACAGCCCTTGGATAACTACTGTAGCTGCTGCCATTGATGACCGCCGATACAAAAACCATCTGACCTTAGGAAACGGAAAAATGTTGCCGGGGATCGGACTGTCTCGTATGTTTTCGATTTCTTCTAGTCTGAATCCATTAATGTTCATGTATACAACGATAGATTCATAATGGTTTCTCATTGGCATATCAGTGAATCAATTATGTTTTTTTTTGCTGCAGCTTCTACTCATCCTCATCGTTCATACACTATGGTTGCTGCAAATGATGTTGCCCTTGATTCTTCTGCTGCGAAGTTCAGTCCTGCAGATTGCCAGAGGCCGGAAGTCTTGAACAAGAGATTGATCGAGGGTAACATTCTTCTTTGCGGGTATTCTTTCAACTTTGTTGTCGGAACAGCTTCCATTAAGAAGGTTGCTGAGACTGCCAAGCATCTCGGGGCTGTTGGCTTTGTTCTCGTTGTTGAAAACGTTTCCCCGGGAACGAAATTCGATCCCGTCCCTTCCCCCATTCCGGGCATCCTCATTACGGAAGTCTCTAAGTCAACGGTAACACATTTTTGATGGGCTATATAGCCACTGTTTCTTATAGTTTATACTCTCAATCATAGCCTCGTTCTCAACTTTTGGATTGGTTTTCTCGTCTTAGGATTTGATTGATTACTACAATGTCACTACGTCAAGGGATTGGACTGGAAGAGTGAAAACTTTTAAAGCTATTGGAAGCATCGGAGATGGGTTGGCCCCGATTCTCCACAAATCGGCTCCTGAAGTGGCATTGTTCTCGGCTCGAGGACCCAACACCAAAGATTTCAGCTTTGAAGATGCCGATCTTCTCAAACCGGACATTCTTGCTCCTGGTTGCCTAATATGGGCTGCTTGGTCTCCAAACGGGACAGACGAGGCTAATTATGTCGGTAAGGAGACACATTTCTTGGTGAAGATCCTTCATGCCAAAACCTAAACTTACCCATAACGAGGATTCATGGCAATGATTTGCTCGAGCAGGTGAAGGATTTGCGATGATATCGGGAACTAGCATGGCAGCACCACACATAGCCGGGATAGCTGCACTTGTGAAGCAGAAGCATCCTCAATGGAGCCCTGCTGCCATTAAATCAGCTCTGATGACAACCTCGACAACCATAGACAGAGGAGGAAGACCTCTTCAGGCCCAGCAATATTCCGAGACAGAGGTCGTTAGGCTTATCAAAGCCACACCTTTTGACTATGGAAGCGGTCATGTCAATCCCCGAGCTGCTCTAGATCCCGGTCTCATTTTCGATGCAGGTATTCTTATCATTCTTCTATCCATTGTGTTCGAACCATACGTCAAAAAAACCCGAGGGATTTGATCGATATTGATTTGAAATATTCTTGACCCATCAAAGGTTACGAGGATTATCTCGGGTTCTTGTGCACAACCCCGGGAATCGACGCTCACGAGATAAGGAACTACACGAACAGAGCATGCGACTACAGCATGAAGCATCCTTCCAACTTCAACTCTCCTTCCATAGCCATCTCCCATTTGGTTCGAACCATAACCGTGACCAGGAGAGTAACTAACGTTGCAGAGGAGGAAGAAACGTTCACCATTACAGCTAGGATGCAACCTTCCATCGCCATTGAAGTAAGCCCTCCGGCCATGACTTTGAGAGCAGGTGCTTCTAGAAAGTTCTCGGTGACTCTGACGGTGAGGACGGTGACGGGAGATTACAGTTTCGGACAAGTGACGTTGAAAGGAAGCAGAGGGCATAAGGTGAGGATACCAGTGGTTGCAATGGGACACAGGCGATGAATGGAAACCCTACAGAACAGATCTTGTGGAGATGTGTGGTTTTGTAATGTTATTCTTTGTAATATTGCAATAAGATGGTGAAGTAGTAATTAGTGAGAGAGAGATGTATTTTGTCTTGTCTGAGAAAATGCTTAATCTCACACATGATGTTGGAATATTAGTAGTTTGTATAATTTAGTTTTTTTTTAATTATAAAAACTCCACTATATGAAGGCTTTTCAAGTCTTTGTTTTTTTTATTGACAAAGAAACTTTAGTGTAACTAGGGGTGGACATTTCACATTTTAATTCGGTTATATTCTAATTTTGGTTATTTCGGTTTCAGATTAGTTATAGACTTATAGTTATTTATAATGAATTTGGTTCTATTTTTATTTGGATTCGATTTTTATTGATGATAATATTTATTTTTAAAGATTTTTTTGGATATTTATTTATTTTTATTCGGTTTGGATTTTTTGTTTTATAAAACCTATAAGTATTCAATTTATTATATCTAATTCGGTTTGGTTATTGATATATGTTATTCCAATTTTAACCAAATTGGCTATTATACTTGAAGATTAAAAAACCCTTCGATAAATAATTAAGTTCTCAAACAATTCTAATTTTATTTTATTAAAATTAAATATCTAAACAGCATTCCCCCCTCAATTCTCACCATTTTTTCCCTCCCCATTTCTTTCCTCTTTAAGATTTACATAGTAATTTCGTACCTTCGGTTTTCTTTTTCTCCGAAACATTTATATCAAAACTATTATATCCTTCAGAAAGAAATGGAAATCAATTTTCATAGGAATTAAAAAAAACAGAAAAAAAAAATATATATATATATATAATGGGCCAGATGGGCCCATCCTGGGCCCATGAAAAAAATTCACACGTTTTTTTTTTAAAAAAAAAAATCAGTAGAGAAGCTCACAGTCGATCCTTTGGAAATAAACCTTGTTGTCGTCAAGATCAAACCCTACGTTGTATTTCTGTTGAGCAGAAGCTCCGATAACGTTCCTATCATCGCTCAGATTCATCCTCAGGGCCAAGCAGAATTCATCGCTTCCATTCCCGACGAACAAGCTCTCCGCATCTAACCCTAATTCCGCTCCTCCCTCGAACCGCAGCCTCACCACCGGAAACCCTAGCAGATCTCTCTCCACTCTCCCCTTGAAGCACGGCTTCGTGTACGTGTCGTATCCCTCTGCTCTCTCTATCACCCCGTCTAAGAGGAGATTCACCTCCCACACGATATTCTCGTACGTTATCCTCTCGAGAATCGTCACGGAACAGCCTGTATCGATGATCGTACCGGATCCGTACCGGTTCCTTTTGAAAATCTCCGGTTCTATATCGAGATCTTTTTCTCCGATGCTGATTCCTTCGAGATTAACAAAGTACTGGTCGTCGGAAATCTCGACACGGGTCGGGTCCCCCTCGAGTATCGCGCCATCTCCGAGGATCAGGACGTTGTGAAGGTAACTCGGGTCGGTTAGGGCTCCGAAACAGTAGGAGAACCTCGAGCCGAAACGCTTCACGATCGAGAATGTACCTGGTCCTAGACCGAGCACGCCGCTGAACAAGTTGTAGGAATCGTAGTTCTCATGTCCGCATCCGATAACCATGTCGGATACAGAGGCAAGCCCTTCGTCGGTTGTCTGAAATGTGAGCTTCTCCTCTGCAAGAACTCCTCTGGTACTGGTTCTGTCCATGTATTTCAGAAAATATCTGCAGATTCCAGCTTCCGAATCGTAAATAACTTGTGGCATGGCGCTTGGTACGGATTCGCAGGATGCATTTCGGTAAGAGGATGATTTAGAAGGGCTGTAAAAAGGAATGGTTTGAGGGTAACATTTGCAGGGAAGGCACTGCAACCACGTGAGATCGCTGCCCGTGTCGATGAGAAATAGCTGAGAGAGCGGAGGTTCGCCTATGGAGATGTTTGCCAAGAACCATGATACACCCGGGAAAGGAATAACTCGCGAATTGACGGTTTTGGGAGTTTCCTTGTCTCCCAAGTAACCAGGGTGGGAGGAACTAGGGTTTGCCTTGACACGCAAGTAATCAGTCCTTCCCTCTGGAATCTGCAGAGCATGTATCGGATTTGAAGGTACGAGCTTCAGAGAAAGACGTGGAGCTGACGTGGACACGAGACCGATGACTGAGAAGAGAAAGACGAATCGAAAAGGCGATGTTGTTGAAGCCATCTGTGACGGAAGCTGTGTGAGTCGAAACCCTTTTTGTAAGAGAGGTGAGAAGTGTTTTCTTTGTGTGAACCTTCTACATCATCAAGAGGCTTTCTTTGTATGAGCTGAACCAACCGGACTTTTTCTCTTTGAACGAATCTTAATTAAACCCTTTATAATTATTTTTTATAAAAAAACCCTTCTTTAAAGAATCTAAAGTTGGAATCTTTGAATTTCAATACTATGAATCTTTCCATATCTTGAAGCTGTCTCAATGGTCGAGGAGCTCGCAATCTATCCTCTGGAAATAAACCTCCATAGCTTTAAGATCGAAACCGACGTTATAACTCTGCTGAGCTGAAGCGCCTATAACGCTCATATCGTCGTGCATATTAACACTCACAGCCATGCAGAATTCATCGCCGCCATTGTTGACGAACAAGCTTCCCGTATCCAATGCTAAATCCGCTCCTTGCGCAAAATGCAACGTCACGACCGGAAACCCTACCAGATCGCGTTCAACCTTCCCTCTGTAGCACGGATTCAAATACGTGTCCCACTCATCAGATCGCTCGAGTATCTCGTTTAGAAGGAAATCGATTTCTCGAGCTAGGGTTTCGTATGCTTCTCTTACCAGAATCGTCACCGAGCATCCCGTATCGATGACTGTACCTGAACCGAAACGGGTTCTTTCGAAAACGTCGGGATCCATCTCAAGTTGTTTTTCTCCGACGCTGATTGCTTGGAGGTTAAGGTAGTAACGATCTTCGAATATCTCTAAAGGGGTCGGATCCCCATCCATTACCGCGCCTTCCCCGAGGATCAAGATGTTGTGATGGTAGTTCAGATCGGTTAGGGTTCCAAAACAATAGGAGAATCTCGAACCAAACTTCTTGACTACAGAGAATCTACCTGGTCCTAAACCGAGCACGCCGCTGTACAAGTTGTAAGAACCGGAGTTGTCATGCCCACAACCGAAAACCACGTCTGGTATCGAGGCTAACCCACCGTCAGCCGTACGGAATGTCAGTTTCTCCATGGCAAGAACGCCTCCTGTACTTGTCTGGTCTTGGTATTCAAGATAGTATCTGCAAATTTCGGCTTCAGGGTCATAAACCAGTTGCGGCATGGCGTGAGGTGCAGATTCGCAGGAAGAATTTCGGTAAGTTAAAGAGTTGGAAGGGTTGAAGAAGGGAATGGTCTGAGGGTAACATTTGCAGGGAAGGCACTGAATCCACGTGAGATCGCTGCCAGTGTCGACAAGCAGTAACTGCGAGATCGGTGGATCGCCTACGGAGATATTCGCCAAGAACGCTGACTGGTTGGGGAAAGGAGTGACGCGTGAGATAATAGTTGCAGGAGTTGCCTTGGAATGCAAGTAACCTAGACCAGATATAGAAGTTGCCTTGCTGCGCAAGTAATCAGTCTGTGGCTTTGAGTAATGTATGAGCTTCAGAGAGAAGAGCAAAAGGAGGAGAAGAGGCGATTTTAAAGCCATTGGAGATGGAAGAAGGGTTTACTTTTGGGATCATGCCTCTATATATGTGCAGCATTTTTTTTTTCTTTTTTTTTTTGCAAGAGGGGAAGGAAAGAAGTGTTCTCTTTGTGTGAAAACCTTGCCTTTATTATTTTTTTTATCACTTTTTTACCAGTTGGACTTTTTCTTTGTATGAAACTGGTACGACAAAAACACATGTATGACTATCTCTCTGTGTGTGTGTATATATATATGTATATATACTTAAATGTATCATGTATGTTAGATGTATGTGTGTATATATATATATGTATATTACACAGGATCAGCATGTATACGGGTATATGTTTGTGTACATTTGTCTCTCTCTCTCTCTCTCTATATATATATATATATATAATTATATATGTGTGTGTTTATATGAGTTATATGTTGTTTTTTCTTTTATTTTTTATTTTTATGTGACTATTATGTGTTCATGACATGTCAATTTTGTCATTTCTTTCGGTTGGTCATGTCATTTTATAACATCGATTGTTGTGAATTAAAATATGTAATATCACACATTTTCAAAATTTAATATTTTATCTGATTTTTTTTTTATAAAAAAAATATCGTTTAGTAATTAGTGGTCAAATAAGAGCATTTTATTTTAACTTTTAGTAATTGCATTAATATATCATTAAAATTCTTGATATCAAACTTATTGTGTGTGTTTTATTAAAGGGTTCAAATAAAAATAGAATAAAATATGGTGTTATTTAATGATGGATTTCTTGCTGTCATTAAGATCCAGTGTTATATGATTAAAAGTCCTTACAAATATTTTATTATTCAATTTAACTGTTAAGATTCTTTACACGCTTTCTGACTGCCCTATTTGTGGGCCTTAATGGGCCTTTATTAGTTACTATTTTTGGGCCTCCACGTAAACGGGAAGCCTATCTGTTCAAATTATTAAATCACAAAATCCAAATGAAAAGTGTTATGTTATGGTTTGCAATCGCTGTTTGATTCAATCACCCAAAAAAGTTCTGTTTCCTATAAAATAAATTATCACATATTTATAAGACAAATATTTATGTATAAAATTAATTATTGGATCAGATCCAATGTTCCATGAGCAAATTAAACAACTAAATCAATTGATCAAGGCTTTTTAATAGCCCTAGTTTTGGCATCAATAATTAGTGAGCTTCCGTCACATGATTAAGCAATAAGCAACACGTTGGATCAAATGATTCTCTCGCTAATCTGGTTTAGAGGGACTTAATCCATTACCCAGTCACATGCCCATCATGTGATCAATTATTATCCCATGTATGCATGTATGTATGTATGTATGTATGTATGTATGTATGTATGTATGTATGTATGTATGTATGTTGTTGACTTGGTGAATTGTCGATGTATATGCGAGTCTTCTCGACTAAATGAGATAATGAGTGTTTTTAATCATAAATAATGAAAAAAATCATCTAATAGCAAATGGAGCTTGGGGATTGACCAAGACATCGAACAAATGGGTTGCACGATCTCTGAAGTAAAATTCTTTTTGGTTGCGATTATAATGTTATTTCTGATTTTTTTACAATAATAAAAATAGATTTTTGTCATATCATAATCCCTTTTTTTTATTGATTGACAGAGGATACAATATTTTATTAATTTCAAATTCCAAACTTATAAAAAAAAACATATAACATCGTAAAAGATATATTAGATCAAAGAACCATAACTTTATCATCATAAAAAAGTATATTAAGGAAATAAAACTTCTTTAACAAAAAAAGAAATAAAACTTATTAAACAAAAGCAAGTGTAAGCAGTCTTTAAATTAGTTCATGTAATAAACGCACCAGGAATGGCACAGCATTGGGAGGCAGAAGAGCTTTATGATTATTTGAATGAGGAAACATATTTTATAAAAATAATTTATCAATTTAGAAATTCCAACAAGTTAATTTTTGGATTCGAGAAAGGGTTAAGATTATTCAGATCCAAAGATACTTAGATGTCCCAATCCATTTTTATATCTAATCTTATCACTAACAACATGCACGTTTTTCTTTGTCGGGTGGAGAAAGTGATAAATGTTATATATATAAATATTTATAGAATTTTGATTTTGATAAGAAAATCCATATATATATATATATATATATATAGATATAAATAAATCTTTAACAGACCCAAATCAGAAGAAACAATTAATAACTAAAACAATTAGTGCCCTTAATCCTCTAATCATTAATTTTTTCAAACACGGCAATATTAAATATTAATCTCTGCCTCAAAATTTGCTTCTGTTTCAACCGAACAGGCTTTTCTTCTTCCGTCTTCTTCTTCTTCTCTGTTTCAGGCATTCTCTTCGTATCAGAGAGAGAGAGAGAGAGAGAGAGAGATCAGAAGAGGGAGAAAAACGAATCCTTCGATACGAATTACAGAAGAGAATCGAAACTGCCGAGGGAGAGACGTATACATGCGTATCTATACATTTATACGTATTCGCAGGGCAATGTATACGTCCGGATGAATACGCAGCACTGAGGTCTTTGATTGTCAAGGATTGGTTTTTGTCTGATTTTCCCTGGATCTTTGACGGGAAACAAACAAGGGATTGGAATCCTGGATTCCTCAGACAGAGATACGATCTGGGTATATTGAAACCTCAGGTACACTTTTCGCTACTTCTTGACGTTTCTTCACGTCGACGCGTGAAACCATTTGGGTATTTCGGTGATAAATTTCGATTTTTTGATTACTGCTCGGATGATGGGATTAGCTGGGAATTGATCGGATCGTGGTTCAGATGCTGACACTCTTTAAGTGGTAAGCAATATTCGATCTTGTGTGATCTCGTTCTATAATGGCAATTTTACGGGAAATTGGACGGGTTTTCCGGGAAAATTTCCCCACGCACATGACTTGTATATCTGTACAGAAGCAATTGCGTTTGGGTTTGTTTTCTATGGAGCCTGGAAGCTGGTTTGACTTCCCATGGCTTTAGATGAGTAGAACTTGGTGATTGGGCTAATCAGAAATTTTGAATTCATAATTGTTTTTTCTTTCTTGAATTGTTTGGTTATGTTCATGTTCCCGATAATGGTAAACAAAACGCAATTTGTGAGGGAAAAAGGTAAGATTTTGATTCCCACTCTGGGAAAGGAACCGTGAAAGTTTTCTTCCTCAAGGGTCAAGGCAGTCAAATTGAGTTTGGCTTCTGATGTTGGGTTGCCTTTGAATGTTTCAAGCACAAATTACATCAAAATCTGGCAATCTGTTCTGTTAATTTTTTTCCTTTTCTGACATCTTGATCTGCTTTTGTTTATGGAGTCATCTTCCATTCTCTTATCCATCTCTCTCTCTCCCCTGTATCTTTGGATCTGTACAGATGTAATGTGATCATGGCTTATGGGTTTCATTTTTTGTATCTTCCAGGATTTGATCTGTTCAAGTTGTTGGCCTGTCTTCGTTGTTACAGAATTTCGAGACTGTGTAAAGGTATGAGATTCTGATGAGATGAGGCCGATGAAGGGTTGGCGTCTAGGCAGTTTAGGTGATATGCAATCTTTGAATGGAGCTCGTTACCGTTCTTCTCATGGAAGGAGGCCAATATGGATCATTGCAGCGGTTTCACTGGTTAGCATGTTCTTCATATTTGGTTATATGTATCCCCATCACAGTAAAGCTGCTTGTCACATGATGATCTCTTCGAGAGGGTGTAAGGCTCTGGCCGATTGGCTTCCGCCTTCACCGAGGCAATATTCAGACGAGGAAATTGCATCCCGTGTAGTGATTAGGGAGATTTTGGATTCTCCCCCGGTTAAAGGGAAGACCTCTAAGATTGCATTCATGTTCTTGACTCCGGGTTCTTTGCCTTTAGAGATGCTTTGGGACAGATTTTTCCAGGTGGGTGCTCACTTTCCTTCAGAAAATGCATGAGAGTTTCCCCGATTACGAACGATTCCTTACATATGATTCCACGATATGAAACTTTGTAATTTATTAGCTTTGTGTGAGCTTTTTCTTCTACACTCACAGGGCCATGAAGGGAAATTCTCAGTTTATATCCATGCATCAAGGGCAAGGCCAGTTCATGCCAGCCGGTACTTTGTTAACCGTGAGATACGCAGTGACGAGGTATGTTTTTCATTTGCATTGTGTCTAATTGCTTTTAGTTGTGGATGAATCTTTCGTTTTATGTAATACTTTTGGAATATGACTTGATTATAACAGATGATTGTATTTTGTTTTTATAAATTCGAAGGTGGTATGGGGAAGAATATCGATGATTGATGCTGAGAGACGGTTGTTAGCAAGTGCTCTCAAAGATCCCGAGAACCAGCAGTTTGTTTTGCTTTCAGACAGGTGGGTTCTTAATCGTTACAACCTCGTTCTCATCGACTAGTTTTAGTTTTCTTTTGCTCGATCGGTATTGAATTGTTTTGGATTTTGCAGTTGCGTACCGCTTCGAAGTTTTCAGTACATTTACGACCATCTGATGTACACCAATATCAGCTTTGTTGACTGGTAACAATGAACTCATTCGTTAAACTTCGTTTTCTTATCCCGAACCTTTTTTTTCCTTAAAATTCAGTTTCTATCTCATTATGGATTTGGTTTGATCGAATATCAGAACGGGTTTTTTTAGTTCAATTCCTTTCTCTGAATAATATGCTTACTTCTTCTCTTCAGCTTTGAAGATCCCGGTCCACATGGATCAGGCAGGCATATGGATCACATGTTGCCGGAAATTCCAAAGAAGTATTTTCGGAAGGGGGCGCAGGTAAAACATATCATCTTCGATCCTGTATAAATGCTTTTCTCTTGCTCGGGAAAATTCTCGAGATCATCGTGAAAGCGTATGGTGTTATGAGAAACACTTTTTCCCGGTTCTTTGTTCTTGAATGGCTTTAGGCTATATTATCTACACTCGTGTGCAGTGGTTCACCATGAAGCGTCAACACGCCGTGATAGTTATGGCTGACGGTCTTTACTATTCGAAATTCCGGGATTACTGCCGGGTGAGTTCATCTAAATACTGGGATTGTAGATCATTGAAATGAACTTAAAAAGAATAATCGTAAGGCCTCGATTCTCTTCAGCCAGGTGTAGAGGGTAACAAGAACTGCATTGCTGATGAACATTATTTGCCAACTTTTTTCCATGTGAGTGTCCTTTCCTTGCTTCTACAAGAAAGTGAATGTTTTGATATCATAATAGATTTCCGGGTTATCGATTATCAGATGCTCGATCCCGGGGGCATTTCTAACTGGACTGTAACTCACGTTGATTGGTCCGAGAGAAAGTGGCATCCAAAAACATACATGCCCGAGGATATTACGCACGAGCTCCTTAAGGACATCACGGTATCGTCAAAGATTTTATCTCTTTACAATGTCTATTCCATCCCGGAGGCATTTCTAACGGTGTTAACCGTTATATCATTTTCTTCATATGCAGTCTGTTGATACAAACTCACATGTATCGAGCGACGGGAAGGTATGCATTTTTTCTCTACTTTTCAATCGTTTCTCGGGGGGTCGGTTTCTTATGGATGGATATACAAATCAGGGGGGAGAAATACGATCGCCTTGCCTGTGGAACGGGATTAAGAGACCTTGCTACTTGTTCGGGCGGAAATTCCACCCGGATACGCTCGATAAGCTCTTGGATCTCTTCTCGAACTACACGAGCATTGCATAGCGATAGATACAACGACTAGTGCGGATTTTCCCGACGTGAATTCTTCGATCGAAGCGTGCGGTTATTCCAAAAACCCGGAATCAGCTAAAGCTTTGAGGCGTATGTGTATGGAAGAGCCCTTTAAAGAAAGATGCAACTCGGA